ACTTCCAAATCCAAAGGAAAGAAAAAACATACAGGTGGAATACTCTGGAACATTTATCTATGCATATACTTCAGACAAAGTGATTCTGCATCCTCACATTGTCAAGAAGGGCCCTTTAAGCTTGAAACGAGAGCAGATTCTTTCAGACTTTCCCAGAGAATAGCAGTGACCTTGCAGATCAGATAACCCATGGTCTACAAGAGTTCAAATATGTCATCAGGACTTTATTTTACCGCTCAATGTTCCTTGGCCCAGTTGTTCAAATCGGGCTAATTCCAACCTCCACCCCCCCCCCCCCCCCTCCCACCCCCCCCCCCCAAAAAAAAAACCCTACAGGAGCTCAGGAGCTCCCAATGCCAGCAGAGCAGAGCTGGGTGTGTGCAGGAGCAAGGATAAATGAGGCCGTGTGTCAAAAGCTGGACTGTCGATGAGTGACTGCAATCTGATGGGTACAACATATTAAACCTAATGAAAATACTTGTTCCCCTTTATTCATTCTCTAGCAGGCTGCAGCTCATGAAATCCAACATGGTCTTCATGTTAGTACAGAAATTGACTCCAGCGCTTTTCCGCTGACTCTCAGTATTAACTGAGACTTCTCCTTCTGTTTTTATAAGAAGATAAATACTTCTTCATGTTGCTGGGGAAGCAACCAGTGTTGCTTCCAATTTGCTGTTGTACGAATAGCATTTTTCTCACTGCAGCACGAGCCATTGCAGGAAAGAAAACCAGGAGAGGACCAATCACTTCCAGCAACACCACTCTCTAGATGAGTTTAGCCTTAGCTTCAAACCGTACCCTTAGGCTCCAGCTCAGCAACATGTATTTTATTTTTGAGCATGAGTAATTCTGACGTACCTATATGTTTTGACTTAAGCATATGTTTCAGTCTTTTATTGAATGAGCTTCTAAATCATTTGAAATCCAGCCCCATTTCCATCACTGAAAACCATTGTATTACATCACTGGGTTGCTCCAGAAGTAGGAAAAAATATTCTTGGTATTTCTTGAGACAGTTTTCCCGTTGTTATGCTGCTGTTTTGCTGGGATTCAGCTTCAATAAACGGTTCTAGCCCCAGTCTGAATTCAAAGCCAAAGCTGGGATTTGATGAAATGCTTGGGTGCTGGACCAAACGTGCTCTAACTATACATGGATTTCGGAGAGGAGAGATAAGGTGAGGGTTTCCGAACAAAAATGTAGCCATTCCCCTTTTCCAGATCCTTCCCTTCCCAGTGCAGTGTTCTAGGAAATTGCCTGTGTGTTTCAAGACCTGCTGCAATTAGCACTTGTGTTGTGGTACAAGGCACACAACAGAAGCTTGTGCGTGGCTAACTCAGTATTTCAGGTTGGGACTAAGTATCTTTTTTTGTGTTTGTTTCCCTTCGAGTGTCTGAAGTCTTGCTTTTGAATGTCCTACCGCTTCCCAGAAACAATCCTCTGACAGAGGATCCCAACCTCCCTGCATCCATCCATGTGTTTTTGTAGCCCAATGTGACTTTCACGAGGGGATCCCAGGGTTATACCCTCTGTTTTTAGCAGCGTGCCTGTTATCATCAGGTGGATGGAGGCAAGACGTGCTGGCAGAGCCTTACCCTTTCCTGAGAGATTGGGGACCCTTCAGCACAGGGAACAGCAGACTCCTTAGCAGTTCTTCGTAGGCCAAGACAATGCTAGCACCATAGAGAACCTTATTCTTTGGAAACAAAGCATCTCTGATTTAGCTGTTAATCAAAACAGACATTCATGTTTTATTCAGGTTTTTTGCTTTAATCCATCTGAAATGTAATACCTGTTAACGCATATTTGCCTTTTCTTTTTCCCCCAAGAAGAAGCTCCCACAGTTTAATGTTGTAAGTGAGCAATTTAGTAAGTGATGTAAATACAAATGAAAATTAGCCAACAAAAGAAATTCAATTGAGTTAAATAGGCGGCTATTATCATACCTCACATTCCCTGCTGCCCTAGCACAGGTAAGAACCAACCGCAGGGGATTTAACAGCTAGCTATCTGCTCACACAGCGCACCCTTCCAGGCTATAAAGGGTACACAAAGATGGAACTCTGAAATGACACATCTCCACAGAGTGACACTATTCTGTGCTCGTTTTTAATCAAACTGAGCTGCACCGTGAACAGATCAAAACACAGCAGCTACCATGAGCAGATCGAATTGAGCGCACACATTTCTCAAGTCTCCACTAGGGCTGTAATCTCATCTTTCAAGGTTTTCAGCTCTTCACTTCCTTTGCTGGTTTATGACATTCAGAGGCCAGGTTCCCCCAGCCTTGTCACTGTGCCGTTATTTGGATTCCTCACCCATTTAGCGTGGCTGCCGCACATTCCAAACAGCAGCACCTCAGATCTGCTCTGCGCTCGTTTGGGACCCACGTATAAGTGTGCGTGCACAATACAAGGCAAAAAGCAGCAGAAAACCCGGTTTATTTGATCGTAGTCATTAGCGCTATACACGACAGGTTCAATCCTGCTCCCTTTGATGTCGATGGGAATACCTGCATCGAATTCACGCGCTCTTGGAAAAAAAAAAAAAAAAAAAAAAAAGCCGGAGTTTTGCAAATTTATCGTTTTGTCATCTATGCTTCAGGTCAGAACGAAAACGCGGTGTTTTCGCCTCGGTTCTGAGCCAAACGATGCACACCAGAGCTTCCCAGAGCGCTACGCCCGTCGCCCCGCTCCCCGAGGACGAGCCCCGCGCGGCACCCGACAGCTGTGAGCCCACCGCGGTGCGGCCCTCCGGCCTTCGTCCCGCTTCGCCACCCGCGTTCGGCTGCCGAGCTTCCCGAAGCGGGCCTGCTGGCGTCAGCGGGGAGGGCCGGGCCGCACCGGCTGGGCGCGGGACGCCGGCGGGCCGGGGATGCCGAAGGCCAAGCCGAGCGCACGGCTCAACGCGGGCGCACAGCGACGCCCGGAGCCGGGGCGCGGGGCCGGGTGCGGAGCCCCCCGCGGCTCAGCCCCGCGGCCCGGTCGCACCGACCGACGGCCCGCAGCCGCCTGCTCTTCTGGGGCCGCTCCCGGCACGCGGCTCCCGGCCGGAGGAGCGGCGCGGGCCGCGAGCGGCCGGCCGCCACGCCACCGAGCCGCCTCGTGACACGCGGCCGTGCCGCGCGCGCGGCCCCGCGGCCCGGCGGCACGCGAGGAATGCGCGCTCCCGCGGCGGGGCCGGGCCCCGCTTCCCTTTGTCAGCGGGGGCGGCGAGCGCGGCCCGGGTGACGTCATGAGAAAGTGCCGGCTCCGAGCGGCGGTCCCGGCCGCGGGCGCCGCGGGGCGGGCGGGCAGGATGCGGACCGCGGCCCCTCGGCGGTGGGGCGCGGCGCGGCTCCGCGCGGAGCCGAGACCGTTAAGGCCGTCGGGGGCCGCCAGCCGCCCGCGGCTCCGTCCGCGCTCCGCCGCGCTCGGGCGGCGGGCAGGTAGCGGCGGGGCGGGCCCGGCCCGGGCAGATGCGCGGCGGGGGCGGAGCCGCGCCGTCGGCCGCCCGGAGAGGGGATCGGAGCCCCGCGGCGCTCGCCCTTTCGACCAGTCCCCTTTGTGTCGGCGGGACCGGGCGGCGAGATCTGCCCGGCCCGCCCGGTAACAGCCCGGCGCCGCCATTGGCTCATGCTAATGGGCGCTTCCTGCGGCCGCGCCGCCCCGAGCCGGGGGCTCCCCCGGGCCCCGCGCCAGCGCCGCTCCCCGCCGGCGGCACCGCCCGCCCCGAGCCCAGCGCCCCGCCGGGCGCCGCGGGAACCCGGAGCGGGAGGGGGCGGGCGGCGCGGAAGCGGCCCGGCTGAGCGCACGTGGGGAGAGGCGCTGCCCGGGCCGGACGCAGCGGGGCCGGGGCGGCCCGCGGCCTCGCTTGGTGCCGAGCGGCGCGGAGCGGCGCGGCGGTGCGGGAACGCTCGTTCGGCGGCTGCCCCGCGGGTGCGCGGCGGGCAGGCCGAGCTCCGCTTTATAAACGTCACCGCTCCCCGGCCCACGTGGGCTGCGAAAGCACGTGTCTCGCGTGCGGCCCGACGGAAGGGCGCGGGGCGGCTTCGCGCCCTGACGCCCTGCGGCCCGGCCCCGCCGCGTGCAGCCCTCGGCCCCGACGGCCGCCCTCAGCCGGGGCGAGATGAAGACGGGCGGGCAGCACGGCGCCGCCGGGGCGCGCGGGCGGCGGCCTGGCGACGCGGGCACGCGGCTGCGCACCGGCGCGCCCCACGGCTCTGGCGTCGCTCGCGCCGCACACATCCCGCGCGGCCCCGCGGCGCGCCCTCGACGGCCACGAGGCCGTCCCTAAAAGCCCGGGCCGCAGCCGGGCTTATGGCTCGGGCCTCACGGGCCGCTCCTCCTGCTCGCCCTCGCTGCGGCGTTCACCCGCGGGCCCCCGGCTTCGTCCTCGGCCTGGAGACGCTCGGAGGAAGCTCTCCGTTGGGGACGGAGCGGGGCGCTTCCAGGTAAGCGCAGCCCCACGCGGACGGGCCGGCACCCACGTGGGCCTCTCGTGGGCCCGGCCACCATTTTGTGCTCGGGCGGCTCCGCACGCGGGGCGCCGAGCGCGGGCTGCTCCCGTTCGTCGCCCCGCGCCCCTCGGAGGGAGAGGCGCCGGCAAAGGAAGGAGAAGCAGAACGGGGGAGACCCCGACGCCTTCACGGTCCCGGCCTGCGGCCAAGTCGACGGGGCTGGTAAAAAAAAATAATAGAAGGAGGAAACGGGAGAGCGCTGTCCCCTGGGGATCCGCGCCGAGGCCTCGTGCCCGGCTCGGAGCGCGGCCCGCAGGTAGCGCCGGGCACAGCGCGTGGTGCCGCGCTCCCCTCCCCGCGCCCCCCGTAAAACAAGGCCGCGCTCCCCTGCGCCTACGGCCCGTGCCTGTGTGTGGCCCGGCCCCATTCATCGCTCGGCTCCCACCGCACGACTCTCTCCATTTTTAAAATTATGCACGAGGCACCGAGGAGACAATTTGGGTTTCCCCCACCTCTCCCCTGCCCTTGAAGAAAGCGAGCCCTTGTCTCATTTGCATCTGCATGAAACCCCTGCGCTCTATAAGCCGAGCAAAGGGGAAGGACTTGAAGCCTATGGGATGGCTTTAGGGCTCTGCCCCTCGCTTTTGGCTCTCTCTCTCTCTCTTTCTCATTCTCTCTCGTGCTTTGATCTCTGCTTAACAACAGTAACGTCACGGACTATACAGGAGAGTTTTGTTGGAAGTTAGAAAGTTTTTCAGCCTCCAGAGGGCTGTAGCGGCAGTAGCAGCAGCAGCATCCAAGGGACTCCTGGAAGGGGAAGAGAGAGAGCGAGCGAGAGACTGACTCAGTCCTTGAGGAACTGACTCGAGACGAAGGAGGCAGACATGGAACATCAGCTGCTGTGCTGCGAGGTGGAGACCATCCGACGAGCCTACCTGGACGCCAACCTGCTCAATGACAGGGTGCTGCAGACCATGCTGAAGGCGGAGGAGACCTGCTCGCCCTCGGTGTCCTACTTCAAGTGCGTGCAGAAGGAAATCTTGCCATATATGAGGAAAATAGTCGCCACTTGGATGCTGGAGGTGTGTATGCTGCGGGGCTCCCTCCGCGCCGGCTCTGCCCTCGCCCCCCTCCCGCACGGGGCTCTGCTGCGGCACGCGGTGCGGCGGCCGCGGGACAACGCGGGCGGACGGACGGCGCGGCGGCGGCACCTCCGGCGGCTCCGGGTGGCGCGGGGCCGGGGTCCGGCAGTGCCACCCGTCGGGCCGCCGTCCCCGAGCCAGGTGCGCCGGGCACGGCCGGACCGCCGCCGCCCCGCCGCCGCCCGCCCCGAGCCCCGCAGCCCCCGGGCGCGGGGCCGTCGGGAGAGGCTGCCGGTTATTTTTCGGGGATTTTATTTTAAATTAATATCCTTGTACACGTATGCAAGCGCTGCCCGTGCCAGTATTACGCGCCATCTTTGTTCTTTTATTGCAAAGCAAAAGCGTTTATTAATCGGGAGAAAATTAGAAAGTCCCGGGGAGCGCGCCAAGGGGGGGGGGGTGCGGCGGGGCCGGGGCCGGGGGGGCCGGGGACCCCGCTGGGGCGGCGGGCAGGGCACGGCCGGGGGGCTCCGCGCTGCCGGGGGGAGCCGCGGGGTGAAAGTTTCTTTGTTCGGCTCGAAGAGAGCTCGGGCTGCGGTCACCCCTCAAAGGCGCGCTTGTGCCGGGCGGCGATCTGCAAGGTCGCCTGGGAAAAGCGGCTCGGAAAGGGCCTCGGCCCGCGCGGGACGCGTTTGGGGGGGCCCCCGGCGGGCGCCCCGGGAGCCGGGCTACGTTTTCGTGCCGTTTCCGAAGCGCCGGGCGCCCGCGATCTATTTTTAATTAATTTTTGAAAGCGCGGCGCCGTGCCTCGCTCTGGGAAACGTCGCGCCCGGCCGCGCCGCGGGCGGGAGAGGGACGCGGGGAATTCCACTTCGGGGCGCCTCCCCGGGACCCCCCCGGCGGACCCCGGGCACGGGGCTGGGTAAAGGACCCCCGCCGCTTCGTTTTCAGCGTTTTTCCGGAGCCCGGCGGATTTTTTAAATATTTTTAAATATTTTTTGAAAAGATGACGTCTGGGGAAATGCGGCTGGACGCCACCTTTGTGTCTCGAGCGGAGCGGGGATCGCGGCACCGCAGCGAACGGGGGGCAGAGCGAGGGCGGAACGGCCGAGCCCGGGGGCAGCCCGGCCCCCCCTTCTCCCCCCCGCTGCCCCCGCGTTTTCCTGCGCTTTCCCATTTCTCTGCTTTTTTCGTCGTTCGTTCTGGGGGCCGCCGCGGCGGGGACGACGAGCTCCTCCGCGCCGACCCCCCTTCCTCCCGCGAATCGTTCGAACGCCGCGTTTCCCCCGCTTGGCCCCCGTGACTTTCATTTTCCTTCGCACCTCCGTTCTCCCCCCGTTTCCCGGCCGCGTTTCTCTCTCCCCCCGCAACCTCGCCCCGCACGGCCCGGGTGGGGGAGGGACGGGCCGCTCTGCGCCGATGCCGAATTTGTTGTTCAACGATCTCCGTCCTTCCCGCAGGTCTGCGAAGAGCAGAAGTGCGAAGAGGAAGTTTTCCCCTTGGCGATGAATTATTTGGACAGATTTTTGTCGTTCGAACCCCTCAAGAAAAGCCGGTTGCAATTGCTCGGAGCTACCTGCATGTTTGTGGCTTCCAAAATGAAGGAAACGATTCCTCTGACCGCGGAAAAACTGTGCATTTATACCGACAACTCCATCAGACCCGACGAGTTACTGGTAATTGCATATTTAATCACCTCAGGCCAGAAAAAGAAAAAAAAAAAGGAAAAAAAAAAAGAGAAACGGTCCCCCCGCCAAGCATGCTGATGGGGAACCCCCTTCTCGGGGCCGGGCAGGGCCGCATCCTCCCGCCTGCACACCGCCCCATCTCCGCGGGGCTGCGGACCGGCAGCGGATCCCCGCGCCCCCCGCCCCCCGCCGAGGCTTCCCCGCTCGGAGCCGGCGCGGCGAGGCGCGACGTGGGCGCCCCCTGGCGGCCGCACGGGGTGCGGCGCTTCCCCGGAGTTGCGGCGGGCGGCCCGGTCCGGCCCCGGGCGCGGCGACCCCCGCGGGAGGGCTCGTCGGGCCGGGCGTGGGTAGCGGGCTGCGGGTGCTGCACGGCCCCGTGTGCACCATCGGGGCTAACCGCGCTTTTCCTCCGTTTCTTCCTCTTCTTCCCCCTTCCTCCCTTTTGTCTTTGCAGCAAATGGAGCTGCTGCTGGTGAATAAGCTGAAATGGAATCTGGCTGCAATGACCCCCCACGATTTCATTGAACATTTCCTCACTAAAATGCCTCTGGCAGAGGACACCAAACAGATCATCCGTAAACATGCTCAGACTTTTGTGGCTCTGTGCGCTACAGGTATGAGCCCTGCACGCCCCGCAAAGCGCGTCGCTCCCCTGCGCACAGCCGGCCCTGGCTCGCGGCTATGGCTAACGTGGGCTCTCGGGGCTGTGGGGAGGGAGCTTAAGCCCTGGTTATTGCCCTTGTTGTTTGTAGAAGGTGGATTACTCCGCACAGGTAAGCTTTTTCAGAAGACACTTCTGAGTTGAATGCATTGGCTGGGGGAGAAGCACGGCTCTTCTCTGTGCAGCAGCATGGAGCGCACGCTGCGGGGCACAATCCCATCGCCTCCACGCGCTGCGTTTTGTCAGTGCCACATGGGGGAATCCTGCCTGCAGATTTATAGGTGGAGGGAACAGCTCTGTGTGGGGGTTTGGAAGCTTCCCTTCTGAGCTGCCTCTTCCCCTCTGGCGGCAGTGGCAGGAGCCACGCGATGCGGAGGCTTTGCTGGCGCGGGCCCGGCGCTGCCATCTGCGCCCCGGCCACGTGCTGCGCCGCAGCCATGTGCAGAGCCATGTGCAGGGCCCCGTGCAGGCGCTCGCCAGGCTGGGTCCGCAGGGCCCCGATCGTTGGTTTCAAGGGCACCGTGCCTGTGCGCGCCGCGGCTTTGAAGTTCCGTGTTTGCATGCGGAGTGTGTGTGTGCGTTTGTGCGTGCGCCGGCTTCACCCGCTGAACCCTGGCAGAGCGGGAAGGAAAAGCTGTCCTCCAGATCTCGCGGTTCCCACAGACCGGAGCGGAGGAGCAGGACAAAAGAAGTCCTGGAGGGAAGATAGATCCTCTGCTCAAACGCGGCGCGTTCGGCGCGTTGGCTGTCAGTATGACGAGACAAATCCACGAATGGCAAAGGAATAAGGAAGAAAAAGCAGCCAAAGCAAATGTTCTTTTGCAGTAGCACGTAAAGAGGAATGCCAGACGCTGTTAGCACCGATAAAACGTAGTGCAAAGGAGATACTGTGCTGCATTAAACGCTAATATTTGTTAGCGGCCGTGCTGGAAGATATCGAGCCTGCAGTGGCACCTGGGAAACCTCGGTGGGATGTGTGGTCAGCCCAGTTAGGGGAGCTTGTTTTCCAGATATGGACTTGGTAAAAAGATTCAAGAGACATCTGCAGGTACTCAGAAGAAAACATGGGTTGCACAGAGCCTACTGATAGAGGCCCAGAGACAGAACCAAGCCCTCATGGGACGTCTATAAGCACTGGCATCACCCGGCGTGGTGGGGTGGCTCCCACTGCAGCAGCACTGTTCCGGGATCGGGGTGTGCAGCCCCCCAGCAGCATTCACACCATCTGCAGAAGCACCACGGGAAAATCAGACATGCTCTCCATGGCTGATCCCACCAGGTAAAGCTGCTGGGACCCTGAACGTGTAACTTGCTGGTTTTGACACTACCTCAGCTGTTAGCTAAAAAGAACAGCTACCCGGCCTCCCCTTGGATATGGGGATGGTTAACCTAGGTTGTTGTGCTGGCAATGACAGGGATGAAAACAAGAGTAGTTCAAAGGTTGGAGACTCGCTAAAGGTCCAGTACTTTGATCTACTGCCGGTGTTGTTATGTTTCCTTATAGGAAGCACATCTAGGGCCTTTATTTAACACTGGTACACACCACAGCTGGAGAATGCATCAGTAAATGAGAGCCATGTTCTGGGAGTTCTAGTTAGCTTTTGAAAAACAGTGCTGAGCTCACCGGAACTGGGGCCTTCTTTGGCTCCCTGTTCAAGTTGGGAATATTTCCTGGGGAAAATGCACACACAAGGGCTGTCGCTGGGCTCTGTATTTTTATTGTTATTTTTGGATGTTGGGATTTTCTCTACCTCTTGCTTTCCCCACGACTTCTTTGTTGGCTAGTGAAGATAACATGTGGCTTAAGTAGCATCTGGACTTTGCTTTGCAGTTGCTGGGTTGTATTTCCCCTTGCCAAAATGAACCTAGATGGACTGCAAATGCCTTGTGTTGCCTGGATGCTGTGCTGTGGGGCCCAATCCAAAGTCCACTGGAAACACTGTGAAACTCGCTGAAGTGGCCTCGGGGGTGAGCTCAGTATGTCCTCTGCTTGAAGTGCACAGCCCGTGTCCCCTCCTGAAGGAGGGGCTCCTGAGGGGAGGCAGCAAAATAATGCTGGCTTAGAAAGTAAGATCTCTGCCAGTTGGCTTAGCAAGGTGAATGCTGTGGAAGTGTTTGTGGATGAGTGTGCATGCATGCTTGGTCCAGAACGAGAAGGTTATGTCGCAAGGTGAAGTGGAGGGGAATTCCTTCTGAGCTCTCTCTTCAGTTGCCTGGCTAGTAGAAGTGGATTTGTTTGATTTGGTTCAGTTTCGAGAAATCCATTTTCACCAAAGGATGTCTTTGTGCTGTGGTAGGTTTGGGAGAAAAAGAGAAAAAAAAATTATCAAGGGTTGTTTGAAGTTAACACATAATTGAGCTTAATGAATGGGGCTTTGGCATGGCCGAACAAGGCAGGGATAGCTCAAAAGGAAGCAGGCCTCTTTTGGCCCAAGTTAAGACCAGCGTTGAGGGAGAACTGCAGCTCTATACAAGCATAACAATGAACAGCAACAAATATTGGAGCTTCAGCATTTCATTATGTTCCTCTGGTTATCAAAACATACCGGGCTCCTTTTATATTATTATTATTATCGCCATTATTATTGTTGTTGCTTTCCTTCTCTCGAATGGAGAAAGAAAGATCTCGCTTTGAAACAACCGGGTTACAATTCTCCTATTCTCTGGCCTTTATAAAATTGGGAGTCTCAAGGTATGTGACCAGTTGGAACCTGTTGCATCTTGCAGCAAGTGATTTATGTTCGCAGTTTTGATTTGCCTCAATGAAAAGATTTTCATTCATAGCCCCCAGCTCTCCAGACGGATGGAACTGCTGCTCCATTTAAAAAGGAAAAGGGGTGACTCGCCTTGTTAGGAATTTTTTTTAAAGCGCTGCAGCGCCTATATGCCTGCTTTGTCCTCCCTTCAGGGTGGCTGGCATTCTTCTCTCTCCTCCCCCTCCCCTCTCTCTCTCTCTCTCTTTTTAACAACGCTGAAGTTGTTTATTCTTTTTGGATGAAGTCTCAGATAGGCTACTGGGGATGTGTGCTTCAATTGATGGGGCCCCCTACCCCATTGTGGCTGTGTCAGGTCTAATTCATCTCACCGAAGCCCCCTTGTTCCTGAGCGCTCAATAGCGCAAGATGAGGCGATGGAGGCTGACAATGATGCCACACTCTTCACTTGGGGGCATCCAATTACAGGCGAGAGGGGCCCCCTGATTAATATGCTGAAATTAGTGGCCTCTGCCACAAATAATTCCTTGTTGAGTTGCAACAAAAAGGCAGTCCATGCTGCTTGTCTGGAGTGGTTATAGGGACAGACACAAACTGGTCATTTAAACTTCATTATCACTTTTCCACCTTGGAAAGAATGAGGGTGTGACTATGAATTCATGTTCTTGTTTACTGCTCCATTTAAAAGAAGAACGCAAATATTAATCCCAAACATGATCTTGTCAGGACAGACTTCATTAAACTGACACATTTTGGCCACGTCCTGTGCGTGGAAAGCAGTCAGCACTGGCGTGAAGTCACTGCCGCTGTACCCCGCTGGAAACCAAATTGTGGTGAGATTCACGTTTGCCTGCTGGAGGCCCTTGCTTCTGGAGCCCACCTGCCACTGCCTTTCAGTATCTCAGCTGGGAGACCATCTGTGGAAGGCGCGTGTTGTCAATAACCAACCGTAACTATCTTGATTTGGGGGAATGACGAGAGCTTGATCCAAGGTGTGTGTACTTAACATCTGTCCCGAAATGGGCGGGTTAGGAAAAGGGGGCAAATTACATTTGCTTTGAACGCAGTGGCGCGCAGGAGATGGCTTTAGACCAAGGTTGGCTTTTTTGCTGGCAGTGCATCACAAAAGCTGGGCCACAATTAATCGTATCAGTTCTAACGTGAAGGTTCGTGGAGCGCGAGGCAAAATGCCCTTTTGAAGGTGGGTATTGGTCTGGGCTACAACAGAGTCAGAGATACGTGAGCAGATTCGGAGAGGGGACTTCCACAGAGTGGTGGAGACTTCAGTTTCACTGGTAAAACATTGTCACAAAAGTTATTTTACCATAATAAAGGAGATGCATGGTTTAATACTTACACTGTTCCACTGAGCTCTCTAAGCTGTCCATTCCTTTGATTTCATTCAGGGGTTTGACAGATGGTTTATATTTTTTCAGCCCAGAGGAAGTTGTATTCTGATAAAAGCTGAAGGAATGTATCTCAGGTTCTTGCGTATAATGTGGCATTTCCCTTTCTTCCTCTCAAAATCAGATGTTTGCTTTGCGCCACTTTTTCTTTTCGATTCCCCTCCAAGGTGTACACTGCCACACATCAAACGCATTCCTGTTCAGCGGAAAGAGTCTTAGCATTAAAACGTGGATTATTCTTATTAAAAAACGCACCAAAACCGTGCTAAATGGCAGAGATAGCCCCTTAAGGAATCATGGGAGTGGCTTTGTGGAGAGACCTACAGCACTGCAGTCTGGAAGGGGGCCCAGCCTCTTGTCAGCATGGTGTCACATCAGAATGTAACTGATTGTCCGCCAATTCTTGGGACCCCCGTCACTTAGTTATGCCACATTTACATTAAATCCCTGTTGCCGGGACGGATGGCAGCCACTGACAAGAGACTAGGTCGAGACAAAGCATTTTTAAGATGAAACCTTAATTTAAATATGGATTATCTGCCTCCTGACAGGGCTAAGCGGCCTCTCTCTTCCTTTCTTTTTACTGATGTCGCTGTTCATTAAAGCCATATTCCTTTGAACGTCAGTGCTTTAGATGGCCCAGGGACTCTGGTCGGAGCACACCTAGGGCTTGGTGGTGCACAATGCTGGGGAATGGGAGCGGGTTTCCCCTGCGGCACTGCACCATACGAGCAAAGTGCTGTGACGCTGAGGTGCCCAGGTGACGGTGGGCTGCCAGGTGTCAGTGCACAGCGGGCTGCCCGCCCAGACCACTGGTGGCAGGTTGGGGCCTGTGGCAGCTCGGAGCGGGAAGCACCGGCGTTTGGGTGCAGCAGCTGGCAGCTGAAGCCATGCTGGGAGAAGAGAGCGTATGTGTATGGGCAGGCTTCTACAGCAAACATTTCAGTCTTTTTTTTTCTTTTTTTTTTTTCCCCTCTTCTTTCTTCATACAGATGTTAAATTTATTTCAAACCCACCTTCCATGATCGCAGCTGGCAGTGTGGTAGCAGCTGTGCAAGGCCTGCATCTGGGGAACACTAACACTTTCCTCTCCTATCAATGCCTCACACATTTCCTATCACAAGTTATCAAATGTGATCCGGTAAGTGACTCTTCTCAGTTGATCCTTCTGCCTTATAGTTTAAGAACGAATGACTGCTTGCTGCGCAGTAGCTAATCTGGCAGTAAATCTCGATAAAGGTCAAACCTCAGAGTGCGTTTCCTGAAGATGCTCGCTGGTATTGGTCCCCGTTCTGTGCTGTCGTTACGACCATTAATAATCGGCAGTTACAGTGCTGCAGTTTACTGATAGGAACGCCACGTCCAGCTCTGGCGTTCTTGAGAGGCGTATCTGACAGCGCAGAGGAAACCCTGAGCTGAGCTGGGGCAATTGCAAAAGCCGTATTTGCTTGTAGGTAATTAAACAGCAGTCTGTGCAAAAGAAAACTATTAAAATGAAGACGAGGAAATAGTTACTGGGATTGCAATAAATGGACCTCGTGGTATCTCTGACCTTATCTTTGACCATTCTTGAGGCCTTTTATTGTGCCAAGTGGTGTGAAAAAGCCCTTCTTAAAAGAGTTCTAATGATCTAATTTGGTTTATTACGTGCTAGACCTGCACAGTAGCTGGTATTGAATTCCTTTTTGGAACAAATGCTTGTCCCACGGCTTTCTGACAAGGTAGATGGTCCTCACAGGACTCTCATTTTGCCCCGCAGCTTCCAGGAGATGCACATCAGTAACTAGCGAGCAATAAACCTTTCATGAGTGAATGGGCCAGGAAGGGAGCCTACAAGGAAGACCTAAAGTCAATGATCCATGTCATAATGGTGTGTGAAGTTGGGGCAGAGTTGAGCTTTGTTTTGCAACAATGTGGAAGACCAATAAATAGATGCTTTTAAAAGGTTCCTGTGAGGTCTCCCAGTGCTGGACAATGAGACAAATAAAGACAACTCTGTGGTTAGGGCAGAATCTTTGAGATGTTGTTATATAATTTTACAGGTTAATAATTTAAATCCATAGAGAATTTTGTCGGTCCAGGTCCATCAGAACTAGTTCTTTGTAACTGGGTGTTGTTGGTGGGATTGAATGATTTCTGGAAAGATGAATGCATCATAATGAATTATTCACAGCAGAATATTTTACGTTCGATAAACGATGTGAAACAACTGCTGACAAATATTATATCACAACTTATTATTTTGATCAATTTCACAATGCCTCAGTATTTATTGTGTTGTTTTTGCCATTTACGTTACTCAAGTGAAGTAGTATGGATCCAGTGCTGAAATGTTAAATGTTATAGGAACTTCAAATGCGAAGGTAAAATGCTGTAAATATCCCACAGCTCAGTTTGGTATGTACACATAATGCTTTCAGTGAGTTTGGGAAGAGTGTAGGTACGTCAGCGTATGATTGGCCTCTTCTTGGCACAAGGTAACTGAAGGAGGTACTAAGGAAAAATTCTAGGCTTGCTGTTGGTATCGACAGCAACTGACTCAAACAGAGGTGGTATTTAATCATTCCTGACAGAGCATTGAAGGAGATGCTCTCACACCTTAGAGAACAAGAGCATGTCCTTATATGACTTGACTTACTTGATGACAGCTCTTTTAGAAGAAAATTTAGCAAGGAGAGAACCAATGCTAATTTGTTTTCTATTGTCCAAGATTGTCATAAGGCCACAACCTGTAAGACCTGAACTTAAAAAAAAAACTAAGACCTTTAAAGGAAGTAACTGTCTTCCAAATTCCACTGCTAAACGTATTTACTTGTTTGTGCAGCTAGAGTTGGAAAGTTTTTGTAGAGACTACTACAGAAAATGAGGACCATAAAATTATACTAAATATAGATACATGTTGTGTTTGTAATGGAATAAGAGTACAGCATCTTTCACTGCTACTACTTTGGAAAGGGTAAATTGCTTGGTTTTGTACATAGTGTGATTCCCTTGCAAAGACAGTTTCCCATAAGGCAGGACAATGTAAGCCTACTGCCAGTGTCTATTTAGCTGGCATCCATGTGAAGTTTGTGACTCCACAGTGATGGTTCCCCTTTGTCAGCCTATACGACTGAAGCCCTTTATACTGATGTGGCTGAAATATTAAGAGTGTGCATTATAACAGCATGGCTAACATTCTCCCAGATTATCTATTAGCTAGAGCAGTCGGTCTGTTGGATTTCAGGTTATATAATTACACTTTTTTACCTTTAGTCTCAAAGAAAGCTGAATCTAAAGTAAAATGGATATCACCTGATTGGAATTCCTTTAATGGTTCATGTTTATGTTGGTAGGAGTCCAATTTCCCATTTTGACTTTGATCAGGGGTAATTAGAAGTCAGATAATCACAATTAGAAGTCTTGGGCTGTCTTCCATCATTCTATTCTTGACCCCATCATCCAAACAGATGGAATTTTACCTGACATTCATTTCCAGGCCAGAAATTTGCTAAACTAGATTAGATTGGGTTTCCATGCTGTCTGTTAGCACATTGGAATTCGTCTCCTGCCTGCTCCTACTCAGAGGCACCTTCAGATGTATGCTTGCTATCCAGAGCAGGTCAGGCAGCAACAAAGGACTTCCAAGCAGCTTCTTTTTTGTTGTTGTTGTTTCCGTTAGTATCTGACCTTGGAGTGTGATCATGTCTGCTGCGTGCGTTAAAGGTATTTGACCACATCAGTTAAGCTAGCGAGTCTTTTTTTTTTCTACTGAGGGTCTTAATTAATCCAAGAAGGGTTTATGACCTTGAACAAACTGTGGGCATTGAAAATTTGGGTAGCGAAGCAGAAAAGTTGTTGGGAGAAGTTATCAGAATAGTGCACAAGTTTAGTGTTTGCTTTTCAGCACTGAGAAGTACTGAGAATGAAAACAAGCTTTTATGAGGTTGTTCACGGTGAATTTTGTATTTTGCAGTTATTTTTGCTAGCCCTAAGATATTCCTGCAGACAAACCGCTCATCTGCTAACTAACTGAGTAATACACGGTTTGAAACAAAATGCCTCACACTTAAAATACTGTCCATCACCTGCAGCAGAAGACTGCAGTTCAGAAAAATTGTAAGGATAATGCTTTAAAACATATTATGTAGTTCTGACATGCTGTACTGTGAGACTTTCACAGGAATTAAAAATATCTGTGGTCAAAAATAACCTTTAAATGATGTAGTTCTAGATATTAATTGGCAGCTGAACTCCAGAGGGAGAAGAATAGGTATTTATAGAAACCCTTTTGAATGGTTTGAGTTTTTAGAACTCAGACACGCTATATGCAAATAGCAGCATTAAAAACAAAAACAGGATTTGCTTTGCTCTGAAAATAAATTGGCTTCAGTTTGGAACCCTGGGCACAGTACCTTGTTATAACAGAATTATCTGAAAAAGTGCCCGGATTTGTAAAAGTGAAAATCCCCAAACCGCTATTCATGTGCTGTTTAATACATCTAATTCCAAGTGTGACTGAGGTACATGCTGCAGGACGGGCGAGCAGCAGCCGCACGGACAGGATTGATCTGTCATATCTTGGGAAGGGTGAGGGGCTTCACAGGGAACTTAGTGGGAAGGCCAGAGGAATGCAGGAGCCAAAGGCATCATGACTTCAGGATATGAGGCGTTTCTTTTTGTCATTTAAAACGCTGTGTGTCTCTGTCAAGAGGAAATATTACACTAGGGTTTAAACCAAGAAAGGTCATAGGTTATGTGTTTTCAGTGAGCTGTAACTGATGGTCTGATCTGCTTAGAGGTAGGATTAACCTCCCTCTCTCTCAGAAAGGCCTCACAGAGAATTGTTTGCTTGGGTTTCTAATCTTATTTTACCCCAAATGCCATGTGCCCTTATTGGTGGCAGAGGAGATTCTTGTGGTAGTGGAATCAGTGAAAAGCTGGTAGATCACACAAGAAGCCTCTGAATGAAGGCAGAATTGAAACTGGGAAATAAAGAAAACAGCAGGCAGGTCACCCTCTCAGGAAAACAACATTCATTCTCAGTCATGCACATCCTAACACTTTTGACGGCAATTTATCATGGAAGACTGGGTTCACCGCAAGGGCTAACACATGTCATAGGTTAAATCAGAAAAGGCAGTACTGAAAGGAAACTTCAAAGTCCTTCAGACACAGAGTTAAATATGTTGGGAAAAAGCTTACGATATTTGTTGTATAGATAAGAGTAAACAGCACGCTGGAGGAATTTTGGCAAAACAGTGGGATTGTTGTGCCTGTTGAGGCACCACTTCTGTGCCCTCGCAGTGGATGTGCGTGGCTCTGAAGAATGCAGCCATAGTTTGCAGGAGTTCGGACAGGTTGAGCCGACAGGCCGTCTCCAGATGGAGTGGCTGCGCATCGATAGGTAGACTTGGATGTGCCTGCTCGTGACGTGCTCAATGGCTGGGGAAGTTCCTCTTTCCCACAGTAGACCTGGTCCTGCTGGGCGCTTGCTGCTCTCCATTCAAACCACAGCCGCTGCACAGGACAGCCATGGCACCTTCCAGAGTGGGCACCCAGCTCCTGATGTGGGCTGTGAAGAGGAAGGAGCTCTCACTCTGAGCTGTCAGGGTGGATGCAGTAGCAAACTGAAAGCGTGGCAGCACCTTAGTGATGCTTCTAAAAGATCTTTGCACATTGGGGTCACGCAGGTGGTTAAGTTTCTCTGGTCAGGTGCTTCTTGAGTTAGAAATCAGTTAGCTAACCTGAGCTGCCCACTACTGCAGATAGTAGCAGCTTCAGTTTTGTGTATGTAAGCATCCATGTACGTGCCACTTCTGTTGAAGAGCTTTCTCATCCAAGGTCCTGCCAGGGTGGCTATTGCCTGTGTCACTGCAGGAGTGTGCACCACATCCTCGCAGTGCTGCGTGCTGACACAAGGAACAAAATGACAGTTGTTGCCAGAGGAGCACGTGTGGAGCTGCTGACTGAGGCTGTTAAATGGAAGATGGCAGGAGTTACTGCTGAAGGCTGGAGCCAGTTAGCATTCTGCAGCAGTTTGGGTGCCTCATCAATCTTTGCAGTGTTCAGCACTGCTCTTCCTACACTCACAAATAAGACGACTGTATTTCTTGTGACGTTTCAAGAAAAGGTATTTTGACTGTGATGTTAGTATTTTTCTAAAGGACCCTGGGTCTTTTTTCTCCTCCCGCTTAATCTTCCCTAGGATTGTTTACGAGCCTGCCAAGAACAGATTGAATCCCTCCTTGAATCCAGTCTACGCCAGGCACAGCAGCACAACGTATCTTCAGAAACAAAGACTGTAGAGGACGAAGCAGACCTTTCCTGCACACCCACTGATGTGCGAGATGTGAACATTTAAGAGGACTTCTTCTAATGGGTTTGCTTGGCAAGAGAAGCAGACAAAGAAAGGGCATCTGAGAAGGAATCAGCATCGGGATCTCCCCCCCAGAAACCCTTTTCTCCAGGACATTTTTATACCAGAAGGGAAAACCAGTCTTGTTATATTTTTTCTTGCTCTGTCTCCCTTCCATCTGTGACTTCAAACAAACAAATAAACAAAAAATACCCCAAAAACTGTCTTAAAAAAGGAAAAAAATAGTATTTGCATTGCCCCCAGGGGTCTGTGCTACAAAAATAGAGGATTTTATACAATAATAATCAACTAGTTTTTATATTAAAGTGTTCTTGTCTGTATGTTGTAAAAATAGGCATTAACACACAAAATGTCTCCAGGGGAGGTATTAGATTTGATTTCTTACATATAAAACCAACCAACCAACCAACCATTTTTAAAGTAGAAGAGGGTTTTTTTAGATAGTAAATGAAATATTCTTTTTTTTTTTTCCTTTAAAAAGCATAACTTTAACGCAGTTCTAGGCTTTTCTGTATCTTGCTTGCTTATGCATTTAGTCACTTTATAATTCATCTGTAAATGTTTATTTTATTTCCTTAGTTTTTTTTTTTTTATCCTCTTCACCTTATAAATGGTTAACGTAACCCATAAGTTAGTGTATGTTAGTATACAGCATTATTATATGTTAATCTTTTTTTTTGTGTGTGTGCCTGTGGATTGCCTGTGCATTTGTAGGGTTCCAGCTTAGCGTTGTTGGGAAAGGCCAATGTACTACTCATACGATACTCTATTATAAAGAGAAACCGAAATAGTGACATAATATATTATATTTTTGTAATCTTCATATTTTTGTAGTTACCTGTGTAAAAATGCTGGTCTGACCCCACAGATATTCAGCCTAATTATGGTCAGGTTCAATCCACAGTTTAGTCTTTTTTGTTTGTTTGTAATATTCTAAAACCATTCCATTCAAAGCACTTTCAGTCCATTAGATATAGGAAATACATTCTTTTATTGTGTGGGAATTTTTTTTTTTTTTTTAATGGAATGGTTTGGAAATATATTAAGTGCTTGTTCGCAAACTCAGAATTGCAAAGCAAGTGCATTTAACTATGGTGTTAGAGGAAAGGTGATTTTTTTTCCGAAGGTTGTGTTCCAGTGAGAGAAATTGCATTCACAAATTGCCAGGATATCTTCCTATCCTTTTCTATAGAAAAGTTGAAGTTTAGAAATCCTTTGGTGCCAACACATGGTTATAAATTAGGGGCCTTAAAGGTTCACGTATAGGACGCATAGTTTAAGGACTGTCTCTAGATGTTTTACAACTGAAGGTTTTTAAACACTAAAATATATAATTTATAGTTAAGGCTAAAAAGAATATTTATTGCAGAGGATGTTCGTAAGGCCAGTATGATTTGTAAAATAATGCAATCGCCCCTTTTTGAAAAAAAGAATCGTTCTACCCTTGATGTCGCAGTTTTAACACAGCTTATTAAAGAAAAAGGACACGCTTCAGAGAACAAACCCAAAACCAAGCAGTCTATTTGGCCCCTTAGACATTTTCAATAGCAGGCTAACCATGAAAAAAAACGCCATAGTTAATAGATATGAAAATTGGAGTACTTGAAAGAAGTTCTTATTCCAGTATATGCCCCATTTTTTTTTTTTTTATTTAGCTACAAATAGAAAATTTGCACATCTTGGCTATGTATCTTTTTATTATTATTTTAGGAAGTAGCTGAAGGGACGTGGACATAGCTGTTGAAGTTGATGCTCGAGGAGAATGTGATGGTGAAATGTATGTGAGAAAACTGCCGCTAAGGTGTTGATTGTAAAAACAATACAAAACAAAAAAAAGGAACAGAGAAAAAAAAAAAAAGAAAAAAGAAAAAAATTAAAAAAAAAAAAAAGAAAAAAGAGAAAAGAAAAGGAGTGGATGCTCCATTTTTATTGAGCTGCTATGGATAAATTCCCAGCATGGTTTGAAAAAAAATTAACATTGCTTTTCTGTATCTTTGTCATTGTGTTTTGCTGCTATTTTGTGGATCAGTTTTTTTTTTTTTTTTTTTTTTTTTTTGTTATACAATGTCATATACTGCCATGTTATAGGTTTTAATTTTCTCATAGAAAATTATATTATTGACATCAATTTTTTTTTTTTGTAGATTTTTTATGTGATCAATTTTTACTTAATGTGATTACTGCTCTATTCCAAAAAGGTTCCTGTTTCACAATACCTCATACTTCAGTTAACCATGTCTAGACCAGGTTTTAATGTTCGTACACAGTGCCTCATAGTTCTACTGCAAATGGAAATGCATCGAACGTTATTCTGAATGGGTCTCGCGATTTGCAACTAGGTTGCATTGATTTAAAGACAGCAGACATTTCAGAAGATCGAGTAATGTCGCTTTTTGTTGTTACACATTTTATAAAGCTGGATTCTTTGTCTGATCTGGGGTTTATTATCATAGTAGTTCTAAGCTGTGTTATTAGCCACATTGATATATGAAAGGTGCATTATAATATAACTTTTGTATGCCACCTGATGTGGTTCCCGTCAGTTGGGATCCATCACTTGGTGTGATAGGTTATCTTCTGGAACTCTTAAGTATTTTGTGTGTTTAATCTGTTATGATATACTAGGGTTGTTTGTTGTTTTGTTTTTTGTTTTTTTTTTAAATTTTTTTTTTTGTTAATTATAGCATAATGCTAATTTAAAAAGCCTGTAAATCTCATAAATAAGCCAGCTAACAGAGTTGTATGCTGAAGAATAATCTAGCTGTTGCCTGTATGCTGCTAAACCAAAACAGAATTAGAACTCTTTTGAGGCAAATGCAGTTAAGACCCTACATAGTGCATAAACAGAGCATTGCAATGCTACTAGCAGTCGCAGGACCCAGGAGGACTGGATACATTCTGTCCAAATTTCAGGAACATTTCTTACTGCTTACCTCATAAAACACTTCTGTTTGTGGCATCTCTGTGTCTCTGAACCAAACATGATTACTGAGTTAGTGGTTGTTGGTTATGTTATGTGTTACACTGAGTGGCAGTGTGTACTGCAAATTTCTTTCCAATATTGTATGTACTGAAATGCCAAATCCAGATACGTGGGTTCATGTGCCAACAGAGATGCTTTGTTTGTCACGTTGTTATAACAATCTGTAGTAAGCAAGCAATTCAGATTTGTACATTTTTATATTGTACTTATTGGCATCACTGGTCTGAAATGCACATTTTCACCAACAGACCTGTAACAGACAAGTTTCCAGCAAAAAAAAAGAAAAAAAAACAACACTAAAGTCTAGAAATAAAATTGGTAAAACCCAGTGCCTGCTTGTTGTGTCATTTTATTACTTTCACACGTGCAGAATGGTAGTAACTGTGTCACGTAACAAATAAGCCACGCCACTTTCATTCTGACTGGGCTTTAGTAATTGCAACGCTAACATTTTTATCACTGCTTTAGGAAGGCAGGTGTTTTTAGAAGTGGGCAGGTGACTAGCAACCAGTTATGCTTGTCAGTGTTGGTCAGTGTACGGTTTTGTGCCCGGCAACGCATTTACAGAAATGCTTTGTTTTAAAAGCAGCTAAGTTAAAATCAGTCGTCTCTTCCTTCCCCCCACCTCCTACACAGCTTTTGCTGGTTACTGGTATCAGAGATAATGAGGAATTAATACAGAAAAAATTAAAAGCCTGCTAAAATACACAAGAAAGAACTGGACTTGAGAAGGAAATACAACAGTAATGAGGTACAATTACAAAATGAGAAAAACTTACAACCTGTTTGCCAATTCCTTCTCCAAGGTGCCTTTCTGAAAATAGGATGCGTGTTGCCAATTGCAAGAGCTGGACACTGCAGCAACAGATTATTCTTCGTGGAGAACGATCACTTCTAATCTATATACTGACTATTGAGAATGAGAGGAGAACGTGATGTCAATTACTGCATTAGAAGTATCAACTCGCGTAAAATGTCAAGTCTCCCTGGATGACAAATCTCATACCTGCTTTATGAGCTTCCCAGTGACTAAACTGCACATCACAACCGATTCTATGCAATAACTACGCAAAGAAGGCTACAATGAAAGCTACTGACATCTGTTTCACACAGTCTAGTGCAAAATCAGTCTCTCCTAGTGCAGTCACTCATATGTTTTGAGTGAGGACATACTTATGATCCTGATTTGGGACAAACAGCTTTTTGCTGGGGAAAAAAAAAAAAAAAGCGATGAGAAATTTCAATCTGCTTTCTGTTGAACATGTTAAGTGATTTTTGCCTTTTCTATGATGTTTTACACTATTAAAAACTGATATTCTGCAACTTTAGTAGGTCTAAGCCCTGACTGTCAGCTCTGCTATTTAGATTTTCTTAAGCATCATTTCTGAATGCAGCCTAGTAAATTCAAGTGTATTATTCACATTGAAAAGGGCAGGATGACAAGAATGTAGCAAGAAAAACAATTTACTATAGGCTGTAAAAAATATGCACATTCAGCTAGGCTGCGCTCTTGCTCATTAAAAGGAAAAATACTTTATTACATCAGATGGAGAAGTGTACACAGAAAACCTCCAAAAGATCTCCAAAAACTCCAATTCCATTGCTGAATTCAGACTGGCAAACTTTTATGAACATTAAATGAACATAAGATCTTTTATCTTTTATAAACATTAACATCACAAATTCTTTATTAAAGAATAAGCAGGGTCCATTAAATGCAGAAATTGGAAATTCACTTACATGGAAGCATACTTGGCATTTAAAGGGATGGAAAACTCCAGATAGAGAAGAAAGAGAAGCTTGGAGCTACTGTTCCAGAGGAGCCACAGGAATGACCCAAACAGGTGGGCTAGATGCTCTGGTAAGATTCCTAGTAGTGTCACTGAAAAGCTACAATGGGACAAAGGTAGTAAAGCTACAATTGATGGCATTTCAATGAAATCCCACCAACATCTCTTAATGGGAAATGTATCTTTTTCAGACAAACATGGTGATTTTATGATCCCAGCAATATAACTGACATAGGTAATTGCAGTGGCACGGCAAACGTATGATTCCCATTTAGCTTTTGAGTTCCCCACAATATTGAGATCAAACAATGATTGTGTATTTGTTAACTGGATTGCACTGCTAACATAAGGCTTGCTAGACTTCCGATTTTGCTCTTTAGGCTCTAGGAGCAAGATAAAAGTTCTCTTTTTGCTTTTTTAGAAATCTGATAAGAAAATCAAACAGTTTCTCAGCGATCCCATTAGCACCTGCACAGCCATACTAAGAAACTGCTAAATATCTGCAGCCACAATTTTTACGAATACTCTTACTTAAAGAGAAAACTGCTGGCAGAAAGACTGGGTACTGGGTGTACCACGAACAAGGCACACATGCAGCATCTGAACTCTGCATGGGCTTTGCTGTTGTACCACCCCGCAGTACAGAGGCAGCTTCTGGGGCCCAGGCTGTACACAGCACTTCCAGCCAACTCCTGAATATAAAAACCAACACTCTGCAGAGATCAATTCCTACCAGAACGGCTCCTGTTTTTTGGATGCAATAACTACTGTACACAGATTAATTCCAGCAATAGCTTTTACCTTTCCAAGCTCCCTCTCTGGGTGTTGGAGGTTGCACTTAATTCTGCTAGAGGTCTTCTCACTTACACTGTATGAGAAAAAGAATCCATTTGTGTGGATTTCATCTCTGTTCTCATTTTACTTATGGCTTCATTTATAATATTTTTGAAGAAATGCAACACTTAGTATTTATTTCAGGTAAACAACCCATCCCAGTGTAGCAACCCATCTCAAAACAGAACACCAAGCCTGCACATTCACTTAAAGACAAATAGAAAGTTACACTCCTGTACAGATTAGGGCAAGTACAGATTAGGGCACAGCTACAGCACGATGTTTCCGACCAAAATATCTATCGTATGGTGAGGCCTACCTGAAAGCCAAAGGCTGCCCACTCAAATCAGACCTTGATTACATCTGCTCACCTCTGACTGACCTATCATGAACTGGAAAACAAAGAAGTAAAACAGGAACTTAAGCAAATGTTGCTTAAGTCATATGTGACACCAGATTTGGTTGGGGTAAGCGGTGAAGGCTTAGGGCTTCAATTTATCTGTGAGTGCATGCGACTCACAGAACAGAAATGACTCTCTACTCACCATTCTCAATCTGAGCAAATAGATTTTGGATGATATGTTGCTGTAGTGGTATGGCTTTTTTATTTCACCCATCACACGTGAGTACCTGTGGCACTTGTCTGCATCCATCCAGACGCTATATGCCATTAAATGCCTGGTCTCCTGTGAGAGCTAACAAGTTACCTACTCCTGTGAGGATGTTACTTGTAACATTAGCACCAGTCTTCAAGGAGTTGGGCTGAGATGAGCAAACTATTTAACAAAGGCCACTAAGCCACCACTAGAGCATTACGACAGCTTGCCTGAGCCAGCAGTGAACGAGTGACCCGGTGTCCTAAATCACTGCTCTGATGGTAAACTGTCTGAAACAGACAATTGAGCTTTTTGATGTTTTATTTCTCCTTTTATTAGATTTTATCACTGTAGGTTGTTTGAATACACAGTATTACTTTTGAACAGCTTTTTTGCTCCTTCAGCACACACAGGCCATCGTTCTTTACATCTGGTGGCTGGCGACGCTAATTATGAGGAACAGCTCTCCAGCAAATTTACTCCCCAAGCTTTCCAGAAGAAATCAGCAGTTATTTTCTCAAAACTAAACATTATTTCTTATAAACACATTTATTTCATTTTTGACTTTCTACATCTGTAGCTGTTTCAGTCATTCACTGGGACCACTTTGCTTCTTTTACACAATGTGTTTATCGACTGTGTATTAATCCTGGTTTTTCTTTTCATGGAAGCCCTTGGACTGCAAAGAATCAGACAAGTTCCTCCTTTATGAACAATATAATTTAAACTGATCACCTGAGAATTCCAGGCAAATCACAAGTATAGCTCCTTGTAAATGTCTCTCCAGATTTTTCTCTAACATGATTTCTCTCATTATTTCTCAAACCACTGATTGCTTGAGCAGTCTGTCCCCACGTTACTGCATAAGACAACTTCTAACATTCATGACATACAATTATAATGTACTTATGGTTAAGGTGGTTTACAAATTCCCAAACTGTGCTCAAATAAATCATTCTCCATTTCACTCAGCCGTCCCAGATACGACGCAAAGTGATGCTGTAAGTTTAACATGGTTTTAAGGTTACAAGGTGCTTGACTAACTGTGCCACAACCAAGGGTGCTCTCAAGAAAATACACTGCAAACACCATCTCTAGCTTTCCTTTAAAAATTACATACTATTATGTATTCTACATTACATACTATTATGGTTCTGAGTTTCAAATATTCATTCGTTTCTACTTGTATTCCAGAGACTATTAAGTGCTTATTAACAATAGATTTTTTTTTTTAAGAAGGTAAGTGGGGTCTCAAAAATTCAGTGTCTGCACATACACTACACTACAAAAAAAAAAAAAAAAAAAAGAAGCCAGTTTAGAGAACAATGTGGGCATGTGTTTTTAAACTACTGTTCGTGCAGTCTGGTCAGGACTGTGTGACACAGTATACAGTGTTTTGTCATCCAAGGAATGTCTTTGATCAAGAGTTTATGCAAGAAGGAAAAAAAAGCCATGAAACCCTAATCCGTTCCCACAGTCCAGTAAACGTGAGCTGGACAAACAGTGGACAATAGCAGTAAAGCTTGCTGCTGGAACAATAGCTGCAACTAAAAAAATTAAAGGGTTGCTGACTCACAGTTCCTACAATCAAGATTCCACACAGTGTCGATTATTCCACAGAATCCTGAAGAAGCTGAAAGTTACAAATTGCAGCTAAACATTACATGGAGCAGCAAATTGTGCCACTAAACAATCAACAAGGAAGAAGACAGTGACAAATCCTGATGCTGACTCCACTTAGCACAGAGCTCAGATGCAGAAACTGAATAAGCAATCCTCATCCTGCCAACAGGACTTTTGCTGAAAGTAAACTCCATAATTTTATTATAAACAAATAGCAGTTTAATTCTTTCAGACAGTATTCCACTATTCCAGATGCCATCCATACATATTCTGCACTACAGACAAAGTTTCTGCTGTTGCAATAGAAAAGCTAGATGCTATTTCTTGTACCTATTCAGAAACCATCTGTATGCTATTTTGCTAGGACAAGAAAGAAAGAAAGAAAGGGAAGGAGGGAGGGAGGGAGAGAGGAAGGAAGGAAGGAAGGAAGGAAGGAAGGAAGGAAGGAAGGAAGGAAGGAAGGGAGGGAGGGAGGGAGGGAGGGAAGGAGGAAGGAAGGAAGGAAGGAAGGAAGGATTGGCTAATTACGTATATATACGTAATATACGTATATATATATATTTGTATATATATATATATGAGAAACAATACTGTACAGCAAGCCACTTCAGTTTCAACTGGCACTTTCTCTACCTTTCATATATTTTATATGAGAATGAATGGGTACTACTTTACATTAATGAAGATCTCCAAAGTCTTGTATACTGGTTATGTCTCAGACAAATATAGTGACCATGTTTCCTTCTGCAGAATATTACATCATTTGGTAGAGCTATATGCTATTCAAGAGTTGACTTAAATATTTTACTTAAAGAATCCTAGGCTGAAGAATGCTGTAAGAATATAATTATTACACTTAAGGAATAAACAGTCCTGTGATTAAGGCAGGAATATTCAGTGCAATGTCAGTGATAGTCACGTTAGTTCCAGATGAACTAACTACAGTGAAGAGCCTCAGCACCAGATTGCTCTAGTTAGCCTCTACAAGTCAATTTTAGACATCAAAACTTGCAGCTTGACCACAGCACTCATTTCATCTCTCTAAGATCTCCATCTTCTCTGGCGATATCTCCCTGATAATGTGTACTGACACAACTGTCCATTAAAAAACAAAAACAACCAAACTTGGGACAGACTATAAAATGAGAATCTTCGTGGTTACTTGTCCAACTATGAAAGCTGAAGTTTTAGGCTGTAATTAGTCCAGAACAAGTTGCCATGAGAAACTGCAAAGGGTAATAATATTTCAAAGGCATTAATATTCATGCTGCATTGTACCAAGAATATGAAGAATTACCACTTTCATTTGAAACCAAAGCCTTTAAGAAGATCTTGATGGGACTCATCACACACACATCACTCTACCTGTCCGATCCTGCTTTGTTACAACCTCCTCTGGTGTGCCCTTGGAAATAATGATTCCAATCCAGATGGACTTCACCTAATTATAGTATTTCAGAAGCTTTCAAACTATATCCTTAAGATCATCAGACACACAAACACCAGCACTTGGTAATATTTAGTGCTTCACATTGCCAGCACTGCAAAAAATGTTTAAGAAAATAATGACCCTGATGAGGAGCTCTACCTTCACCTTGAGCGTCCCCTTTGCCTCCAGAAAATGCCACTTATTAGTATAGACAATTCCTCTCAAACATTCAACGCTGTAATTACAGGACATGATAAAAAAAACACAGATGTTCAAGTAGGTCACCAAGGAGGAAGGTACCTGCTTTTATTGAAGAATAAAACTTGAAAACAATCTGAAATTGTTAAATCAGATCTTGAAACAAAGGCTGTATTTAATAAAAGCCAAAGCTTTTGCAGATTGCAAGTAAATAATAAATAATCAGTACTAGATCCAGGACTTTAGTTGCATGATTTTTAGAAACACAAGATTCAATTCAGAATGGCTTCTAAATGTGTGTAGATACACACAGAACAAAAAGATGTGAACAGGATAAGATTTATGGATTTCAAACTTTCCAAATTCACATTATGTGATCTCTTAATGCGGGTAAGTTGTCTGAAAAGAATATAAGAAGTTCTAACGCTAAAGCACTGTGGAGCAAGAAGGTGCAGGTACACTTTAGAATGAGGAATCTTGGTTTGTTTCAATGAGAGAAACTATTTACAGCCAAAGTGTAAATAAACTCTCATGAATACACCCAAGGGCTCAAATTCTTCCACCTCTTCCAAAACAAAGCATTTGTTCATACATGTTAATACTGAACCACGGTGAAATTAAAGCTCACAATTCTATCTCAACATTTCTAATGCATACTCTAAAATAATCAATAGAAGCGTGCTACCTTTCTAGAAACCCTAAGGACAGACCAAAATGGGTGCTTGACTCACTCTTTCTCTACATGGTGCATTACCAGAAAGCCGGCAATATGAGATTGCACAGGTTCTATGTACAGGATAGAAAACACTACTGCTTTTCTATTTTATACCTCAGTAGCAATCAGATCAAAAAGTCACATAACCAAACTGGGATGTCAGGCTTTCCTTACAAATTCAAATACGAGTTACAGTAACCTCATTTTGGGACAACATAATAGGATTCTCCTGTATTGCTTTCTGATGGAACAACTGCATATGCACATTTGTTTTCTCTGATTTCACAATTTTTTGTTAATTACAGGTATTTCTTCAGAGCTGAACTTGATCCCATTCACATTACAGTTCATGACAAATGGAGTGGAATTATTCTTGTTCAATGAAGATGGAACAAGTATTTTAGTAATGAATTTAACTTGAAGGTTTTAATCTCCATCTGTAGGAGAACTGTTAGTCACAGCTTGAACTGGTGACGGAGCACCTGGTGAAGAGGTGTGGCTGGCCCAGGGGGCACAGGCAAATTGTTGGCACCTGTGCTCCCTGCATGACCAGAAGGTGTGGACTGAGGGTGGAGCCCCTCTGATCTCAAATAAGGGCCAGCTGCTAAATGGAGAACATCTCTTGGGCATTGGCTGCTTCTTGAGAAGGGGTGTTGTGTAGCCAGAGATCCAGTTAGGTGAGTTCAGCTCTTCTTTGTGTATACGACTATTGGGGTACCTGCGAGTATTGCTACGAACCTGGCAGAGTGATTTGCTTCTCTGTGAGTAGAACACTATCCTGTTTTTTTGTTCTTTTTGAAAATCTGTGTATAGAAATGCAGTCTCAGTAAAGAACTTTTACTGTGTTAATGTAGTACAGTGTTACAAATAACCAACAAAGTCATGTTTACATGTACTAGTAATGACTGATTTGGGATTAGCAGCTAATGACCCCATGATTGTAAAACAACGCTGAAATCAGAATGGAATTCTGTAGGGAATTAATTCACTGTAGTCAGAGATGAGCTTACCTTTCCTTGTTGATGCCTCAAAACTCACTGTTTCTTGTACTCTTGTAATTTAGAAATGAAAACTGTAAGTCTTCTCAACTGAAATGACTTCAATATACTACCAGTAATTAGCTTTGCATTCACTCCTAAAATGAAAAATGTATGCTCAATGCCTTGAGTTAAGTTCACAAAGAAACAAAACAAGCTAGAACACAGCCCCAACAAGTCAGAAAATTAAGAGTTAAATATTTCAAGTGTTCCTCCCTAACTACTGAGCATAACTAGCGGTGGTGAATAAAAACATACTAAAATGCACTGCTCTGAGTCTTAGTAACTCCAGTATTTTTGGCAGAGATCTTCCATGCTACTTGTTTTTATCAGATCAACTATCTCCAGGAAGACTTAAACCATCATGACTGCAGAGCCACGATCTGTCCTACTTTATTAAAAACTGATATTGTAGTCTACAAGACTGCATTTTTTTCTGCATCCCTCCCTCCCAGACCTTAAAGCAATCCTGAAGTTGTGCAGTCAGTTGCTGAGACCAGAAAATGTCTGAGTGACTGTTTCACAGATGCTTTATTCAGCTTCTTCACACACAGATCTTCTGATAGTCTTTAATTACAGTTCAAAACCTGCTTCCACCAGGGTCCTGACAAGATGAGTAATGACAGGATGCTAATGAAACCTTTCATAAGAGTTTTTCATTAATTTCTAACAGATTTAAGAAAGGTGTTAGCAAGACAGGCATCAAAAGAAGAGAAAACGTATGCCCTATGCCTCATGAAACCAACTGGTTTTTTGAGTACCTTGGCTATCCCAAACATTAATGATTTTTTTTTTAAATAGCATTGAGTTAAGCACGTATCTTTCACAGGTTTTTGCTGACTCTTATGTTCTTCATTTCCTAGGTTTCTCCTCTGAGAAACACAACTGAAAGTAGAAGCATGTAAAAAGCCAGGTACTCCTAGCCACTCTTGATGTCAGTAAGTAGTACATCCTGAAGTATTCAAGTAATTAAAATGCAAGGTTGTTTGCAAGGAGTCACACTGATTAAGACAAAACGATATTCATCATGTAATCCGGTCTTTAACTCCTTAGCTGTCACTAAGGCATAAAAAAAAAAAACCTCTGTGCTGTGAAGACTGCCATTAAAATCCTGAACATCATAAGAAACCCTAATCCACAACTCTGTTACAGAGGATATTTTTAAAAGTTTGCACTGAAGAAGTGTATAATTACATATCCAACAGAACTATTAACTGTAGCTCATTTAATACAAATTATCATGCCCACAAAAAAGATAATCAGAAAAATACAGATGTGCACACACCTGTAGCTAAATTAAGGACCTAAAGCTGGCATATCCCAGTTTGAGATCAGAGATGCTACAATCTTTATAGTTATTTTCATATTTATGTTAGCAATTTATATTAAAATACAGATTTTATTAGAAGATGATAGTAAAGCAATAGCAGAAATTTAGCCATGAGATTTAAAAATAAGGTGGTAAGTGACTGATCTGCAAGGATCCCTTTTTGCCTCAAGACAACGAAATGAATTTTGTATTCAATACAATCTCTAGAGAAGCACTTAGAATGTCACTTACATTGCATACACTTCTAGTCATCAAATGCACCACAGATACTTTGAACTCTCACATCTTTCCCAGTTTTTCTACATGTTTTTGCAAGCCATGTACAAAGATTCCAGAAAAGATCACATCTTCAAACTTGAACGCTTAGACATCCAGTGCTTACTTCTCTTTGTACATCATTCAGAAGAGCAATAAACTGCCTTTCTGAGACCAGATCAGGTTAGGGGGAAGGAGGACACTTATTTAAAATACAATATCTAGTTTTCAACAAAACACTGAGTCAGTCACAGCTGAATATTAGCACACTCTTATTGCTTTGAAGTAAATAGGTAAAATAACATGATTTAAAAAAAAAAAGTATTAATTTGTGGATCCTGAGACAGCTTTTTCAAATTTGGTTTTCTCTGAAGAGAATATAAAATGAAATTACATTTCTCTGGTAAATGACCTCTCTGTTATGTGTCTATTTACTTATTGAGGTTATATGTATGTTCTTCTTTTCTGCTTATGTTTCAGCTGCCCACACACTGGAGCTTGTTCACGTTGCCCAGTGGTTTAAGATGCATAACAATTAAAAGCCATACTTAACTGCCCTAAATGAAGATACCAGCAATGCTGTCATGTCACTTCCAAAGTCTGAAATAAAGAAACAAGCTACAAATAAATCCTACCTCAATACTACTTTATTTCAAAGGAATTCACTGCATCATTAGAAGAGCTTCAACATGCATACATATATTCTGCACTACTTGAACAACTTCACCTTAATAAATACTTGTGAACTATTACAAGAAGCATTACTTATAGGCTGTTTTTAAACAGTATAAAAACCTCCTCCACTAGATGGCTCTGACAGTATGTACATCAAAGCTGTTTGAACACTTACATATTTACATATGTACACCTGTAAGTAATAAAGGCAGCTGATATTGACATATTCATATACTGAGGAATCAGGCAAAAATAAAGATGATTTTGAAATGAAGTCAATACATATGTGCACATGTATACATTCAACAAAATATTTGCATCTTTTTAGTCCAAAATTACAATAAAAAAGCAAAACATACGCCTTTGCATCCCAGATGCAAATGCACAGTAAACATTTTAAAAAATTTAAGCTGCACCTGTCCTTCCCACATGACCAGAAGGAGTGGACCCAGGGTGGAGCTACGCCAGACTCATATAAGAACTAGACACTGAAGGGAGAGCATCTTTTGAGCCTTGGCTGCTTCCTGAGAGGCGGTGCTGTATAGCCAGAGCTTCCCTTCACCAGCAGGGTGATTTCAACTTTTTTTTTCTGCATGTGACTATTGGTGTACCAGTGGGTTCTTTTCCTAGTTATCACTAAGAATCTGTCAGAAGCAATTTTGCTTCTTTGTGGGCAGAACAAATAGCAACTTCAAAACTCTTCCAGTAGCCATGTTTCTATTATTGATAACTTAAATTGCTAGGGTCTGGGTCTATTTGTTCTTGTTTTCTGATGTTTGGATAAGTCTGCAAAACTGGTATGGGAAAAAACCACAAGATTGATACTCTGAGTTGCAGCTACTTTATGAACTTAATAAGATATCTTAACCTTACTTCATTTGCGTTCTTACTTCATTTGTATTCTACCTTCTACCCACAGAGGTGTTCATTACTGCAAGCTCTATAGGCAACTGATTCAATCTTACTTCATCTAAAAAACCTACACATTGTGTAAAATGGATGATCTACATATGTAGATTTTTAATAATATAAATTCTTTAAGTAAGGAAGCTTTGCATATGCATGTGTTTTCCTTTTAAGGAAAGGCTGGTGAAGAATAAATCAAATACTTCTATTTAACAGGTTTTCACTGCTTCTCTAATCCTAAATAATGCCTTGAGATTAAAAAAAAAAAAAAAACTTGACAAATATAAGAAACCATCAAATGTTTTGTTCTTTTTCTTTACCACTTTAATATTTAGCATCTCTCTGCTACTTGGATTCTGTTTAAGACAAATAAACGCTTTTCCAGTTATCTGTTCTTTAATACGTCTTTTTTCATCCACGCTGATCTTCAGCTTTTATATTCAAAATGTAAGTGAAGGCCTTTCAGTACTGACTCTAAAATCAGATCGAATATTTAGCATTGAACAAACCTAAAAAAGAATACATGAGAGTGTTTTGATGCGTCCATTTTCCAGAAGGAAATTCAACAAAACTATTAATTCCTCCTTTTCTATTCTTCTGGTCCTGCTTGTAATTCACTGTCAAATAGAATTTTCAATTTTCCATTTGTTTAATTTTATTCTTTTATTTTGCATTTGCTATCATTCAGGGAATTTTCAATTCAATGCATTTTTACTATGACTGCAAAAGAAGGTGAAATATTTGCAGAAAGCAATACTATTTTGTGCTAAAAACAACAACTTAATCCTACAAACCTGTTTAAATTTTCCTCTGATTTTTTCCAGATCATCTTGAAGCTTTTCATAAGTGGGATCTTCATATGGGAACTTCTGAATCATTCCTATTAATGAATCCAGAGCCCTTATCTTTTTACTGAAAAAAAAAAAACCCCACAAAAAAATAGTAAATAACAATGAGCCTCGCATAGAAGTCTTTCCATCTGTCAGTATGAAAATTGTATCAGTATTTTATAACTCAGAGCATAGAATCCAGCCCTCTGTCCTTATTTCATTCAAATTCCCTCATACATATTTAAGACATCTTCAGAAACCAAGCTTGGTACAACTGACAAATGTAAGGCTTTCCTTTTAACTTACCTCCCAAAAACAGACATCTAGTCAGGAAACATCTAGTCAGAACTACCAATTAGATGACTGTGTGTAATAAATGCAATAAGAAAGCTCACCAGAACATGTATTGAGATATATTCTATTGAGATAGCTGGAAGCAAGGTGACATTTTGTTCAAATTAATCAAAACTAGTCAGAAAAAAGCATTAAGTTCTACCAAAGGAAAGTAATAATCAGTATTTGGGAGCGTATGTATCTGCATATCTATAGAAAACTAGAGAAAAGTAAGAAAAAGAAAGTGGGGCACCTAGAAGTGCAGCAGATGTATTTCTGTTGCAGACAGATAATAAATCATGCAGAGACCATAAAATATCAGACATGGAAAGCAAAGATTGCTAGCATCACCAAAAACGTGAACTATCTGTGACACACTAATTCCCTTGCATGTCTCACTGGCTTAGGGAAACAAGCTATGATTAATTACTGATGGTGAATTACAGCTCCCTCAGAAGAGGACCTCAGTGATTTAACACGAATGTCTGTCTTGGATGATGGGATGAGTGTATCTGTAAGAACAAACACTGCTAACTGGGGGATATACTGCTTCCACAGTGAGTGTTCAACTCAAGTCCTTATGAACTCTGAATACTGCTCATGTATGAAATTTTATTCAGTGCCTTCCTCCAGTGCATTCTAATCATTATTCAGGTATGTCAGAAATAATGAAGTTTGTTAACAGGTCGGGAAAACAAATCTGTCCAGTCAAAATTTAAACAAATTAACAGAAATAAAATACTGCTTAAGAATTAAATCATTTATTTAATAATAATCTGCTGAAAACTAACATTTAAGATGTTCAGGTTTTAATGTACTAATGAAATTCATCTATCACTTTACTGTTAAAGCATCCATTGGAAATTATTGTTTAATTTTCAGACAATGAACTTGAGCCCAAGTTTTTATTCAGGTGAATATATTTGGGAGTTTCAAATTGCCATGAAGCACATGGATACTGCATTTTACAGAAGAAAACGAAGAAAACGTTACCGAAACAAAAATGCCACCAGTTCTATCAGCTTCTAGAGGACTTTAGATAGGCCAATATATTCTGGCTTTTTTTGTTTTCTTCCAGGGAACACACTCTACTCTGTTCCTCTGTCATGAGTCTTAAGAAAGCTGTTTAACCAAACATAAAGCACACAGGTGATGGGTAGTGATGAGAAAAAATGCATCATAGCAGTATTTTTAGGTACATAAATAACAGCAAAAACACAGTGCAGGAAATCTGTGTGTTTGATTCTGTGCAGTCTAAGTACTTTCATAACAAAGAAACTATTTTTAAGTGATAATATTGTATAGCTTTTAACATCTCATGCCTATAACACTCTCACAGCTTTTAAGTAATTAAAGACACCAGTTTGCAAACCTGACTCTGTGGTGCAAGAGCAGTAAGTGTTGCTAGGATTTTGAAAGCATGCATTATTCTCCATATTGAGAATAGAATGGAAGTTGTGGGGGGGGAGGAGAGAAGCAGGTTGTAAAGGATGTCTGGAAGTTATTCAGTCTGCCTTCTGCCCAAAGCAGGGCTAACTTTAAAGCCCAATGAGATTCTTCAGGACCACCTTCAACCAAACTGTGGAAAACTACAAGGATGGGGCTTCTGTCCTCAGCTGGGACAACCTGTTCCAGTAGTTAAGAGATCATGCTGGAAAGAACCTTCTCTCTATGCCCAATTAGGATGTCAATTGTTTCAACTCGTGAAAAGTGTCTATTATTCTTCCACTGTGTGCTGCTGCAAGGAATGCATCTCTAGAACTTCCCTTTGTGCAGAGCAAGTAGGCATCTCCATCTTTTCTTTTTCAGTCTGATGAAACCAAGTTCCCTTATCCTCTTTTCAGCATCAGATGGTCCAGATTGCAATGCAATCCCAGACACCACCTATCTGCTCACCCTTCTGTTTTTCAGTATCCTCTTTTTTAAACTGAAGAGGAGGCAAAACTGGACACCATAACTTGAAAAAACTATTAAAGGGATATGATTTATACTTTTAAAACCCTACCTGTTCTTTTCATCCGTACATTTTGGGAGCAGACACTGCCAGGTCAGTGCAAATCCAAGGTAGCTGCCGATCTGTGAATTTTTAAGAACGTCATGGAGGGAAAAAAAAAACAACACCACATATTTAATAGTGTAGTAGTCAAAGAGAAGTAAAGCTCTGTATTCTCTTATTCCTTGGGAAACAAGTCATTGGATATACAAATATATTTCTACATTGAAAGGCTCAGAAAATGATATGCATGCTTTGAACCACAAAATTTATGAAACTGATGAGTTACTGCCAAATTCCACTTCAATCTGTGCATGCACCTGCCATTAAATATACAAGACACAATTGGACTTGGAAGTTCCTTTAGCCTGCAAACTCCATCAGAGTACAGTGGGAACATCTGGGAGCTCTAGTCTTCTGGGAGTTATGTTTGTTAAAATACAAGTGCTTGAGAACTGACATCTCCAGAAATGCTCAAACATAAAAGAAAGTGAAGCAATTTCATCTGTGTGCACCAAAGCTGTTTGGAGACCCCAGGTAAGTGGAGACACCAACAGGATCACTTCACGTAGCACCAAGTTGCTGTGGTCTGGGGATGCTGGCCCATGGATGCTTTGCAGCAGTCTGCTCTGCATAATTAGTGATGCACTACCACGTGGGTTCAGTACCAATCTTCCACCTGAGCCCAAGCACACACTGTATCTAATATTACCTCAGGAACGTGCTGGAAAACAGGCATATTTTAACTGTAACATCCTGTTTTAATTCTTAATCAAGCAAGCCACTGTCAGATCAGTATTATTCTCCTCAAGATAGAAAATAGGCTGACAGCTCAAAGATTACCTAAGTCATTCTTTTCATTCTTTCACTTACTTAATATGACAGTGAGACTGTAAACAGATAATCTTCTGGAACCTCCCAGTATCAGTAGATTAGAGCACTTCTCTATTACAGTCTATATAGCACTATGCTGTATAAAAGTATTCAGTTTTAGAAGCTGTTTAACTGTCATCTTGCAACTGTACAGCTATAACGTTGGTAGGAAAATAAGTACTGTTCACCTTTATATCACAGTTAAGTACAAATTAAAGTTTTACAATAGCTGTCCTTTGAGAGTTTGCATTTACTGTTTTTGTTTCAGACTGGACTAATACCACTGCTGCTGTTCTTTCAGTAGCAATGTTTGAGCCACAAATTCTGCCTGCATTAGAAACAGGAAAGAGGGTGATAGAGACAACCAGTGCTGTCTGGCTGGGACATAACTTGGGTAAGAATCAACATTCCCTATTTCTCCCCTATGCTGAACCACAGAAGATGGTCCAGGGAGCCTTTAGACATAACCTTAGGTTATAAAAATAAACACGTGCTCCATCACCAACGTGTTCTAAGTAGACTTGTTTGTTTCTTGTCCTCTCCTTCAGGGAAATAAAATACAGAAACCCATTTGTAACTGCAGGAGAAATGCTAAGTTATGTCCTGAAGCAGTGATTGAGCACCTGGTGGGAAGGCAGGGCCAACCCAGGGGAGCTCAGGTGTATGCAATGCAGCTGAAATGACAAGAAGGGTTGGAGCCAGGATCCACCTCTTCCCAGACCTCATTTAAGGGTTGGCAGTAGAGGTGAGAGTATCTTGCTGGAGATCCCTGTCTACCTGAGGTAAGTAGATTTTTTCCTTTGTTTTTTGTGCCCATGGCTGCTGCATTTGGGCATATCTTCTCTTGTTGCAGCCTGGGACTTTGCTTCCCTGCTACCACTGCTGTGTTTTCCGTTGTGTTATAGAGTTACAGCAACCTCCTCAGAGAACACAACTAGAACTGCATAATGCTGGTGACATTCAGTTTCAACCTCCTGTATTCTATAGAGTAATTCCACTGTAGTTTTCTGTGTGCCAGGTTCAGACTACCTGGAACACTCCTAGAATGAAGCCCGCAGGGCTCACGCTACCAATGTACAGGATTTTGCTCGATATATTCCTGTGCTAGAACCATTCTCTAAAGGAAAACAAAAAAAAAAAACAAAACAAAAACAAAACAAACAAACCTGCAGCGAACTGCAATTCCCGAGTAGGTCTCCTTACCTCAGAACCAATCTTGGCGCCATGCAGAGCGCCGCACCTCCGCCCCTCAGCAGCCCCCGCCTGGCTGCCCTCGGCGTACCCCTCCTGGTAGCCCTCCCCGTGAAACCTGCAAGGACAGACACGCGGCTATACGCTTTCCTTTCCGTTTCGCGCCGCCATCGCGGCCGGGCTCGGCGCTCCCTCCCTCCCTGCCGCCGGGAGGGCCGCTAGCCGTGCCCCCAAAGGCTCCCGACCTGTCATCGGCCATCACGATCTCATCAAACATGTCCGATCCCGGGGAGCGGGCCGCCATCGCGCCGCCACAGACGGGGCCGGCGCCGCGCTCAGCACGCCGGGAGGCGACGGCGAGCCGGAGGGGCCGCCTCGCGTTGCACCAGCGCGCAGGCGCGTAGCCTCCCGCCTCGCAGCACCTGAGCGCTCGCGCGTGGCGGGCGGTGCCGCGCTCCTCTCAGCAGCCTCCTAACGGGCGCGGCGCCTCGCCGGCCTTGCAGGCAACAGGGGGCGCCAAAGCGCCGTCGGTGCCGCGGCTCTGTGGAGCTGTGCGCCGCGTGCAGAGCGGGGCGGGGAGCTCCGGGCTGGGCGGCGTTGTGGAGAGTGTGCGTTCACGTGTCCGTGCGCGGGCTCGCATCTGCTGTCCTGCTCCCGTGTCACAAACGCGCACGTTGTGTTCGGTAACCATCTGGTGCAAGTGGAAATAAAGGTGTTTTTGAAGCTACCAGCTACAACTTTCGTCTTGCTTTGGAAGTTAATGACAAACAAGTGCTTTGATCTCAATAGGCAGGTGGCTTGATTCATTATGCTGCAAATGCGGTAGTGTTCTAGCAAGTAAGCTGCCAAATTGCCCTCATGGGTCCTCAGCAATCCTGTCACAAATTCACCCCTACTTCAGCATCCCAATGACGACTCCTCCCCACAGCCATTCGCATCCCAGGGAAACAAACACAGCTCTGCTTCATCGTGTCAGCTGGCACCCGCACGTTTGTGAGGGACTGAGCTGCATTTACCTAGCTTACCATGTCTCTGCTCCTGCACAAAGCATGACTGTCCCAAGTTCTCCACAAACAGTTTCAGTACTTGGAATAGAGATAGCACTGATCCTCCGAGCCTGAATAAAGGTTTTACAGCCCTTCGCACCTCCCCAGAGTGGAAATGGAGATGCCCAGTATCTCCTTTTCTGTACTTTCTCACTACTGACATTTACACATCATAGCTTCTAACTCGGACTTCACAAGGAGGCATTTGACACCTTACCTTTTAAATCCTTTTAGGGCTGTATAATGTGCCGCTGCAAATGGAAGGGCGGCAATTGCCCTACTGTCCTTGGGTTGCAGTGGTCAGCCAGGGCCTTTTCACAGCGGTGCTGGTGTTTGCATTCCCACAAAGCTGAGGACAATGGTGTTCCAAGGTTTTCCTGCACAAGTCAGGTGTTTGTTGGCAGGGAAAGCATTTTTACAGTAATCGTTCTGCCTCAAGCTGGGATCCTGTCACATTTCATAAGCAAAATGGCTAGGCCTGGTCAGAGCTCAGATGGGAAACCTCCAAGGAAAACTGAAGTGCTCCAGGAAGTGGTGTGGGTAATTTAGCCCCCGGCGTTCTTCCCTCTGCCTGAATAAATATTGAGCCAACCTCTGACCATGCTGTTACAGTAAGAATTACCATGCTGCTCATGGAAGATGCAAACCCAGAGGTGTCAGCAAATAGGATGCTATTTCCCAATGGAAGGATGCTCGACTTTTTTTTTTTTTTTTTTTTTTTTGACCAATATTTGTGACAACAATGTTAAATCTACTTTAAAATCTCTCACCAGTTAATGTGAAGTGTGCACTCTGAATTTTATCATTTGCTGAGTTCCCGTTTAAAACTGTGAGGTTTTTTTTGGTGAAGAAGTGAGGTTTGGAACAGATTTTAAAAGTTCATTTTATGTTCTGGGTTTGGATTTCTATAAAGGAGTCTCAAAAGATGCATCTGATGTTCAAAAGATATATAGTCTGATCAAAAACAGAAATGAAAAGCTGAAAAACAGGACACCCCAAACCCAAAAATTTTTGAAATAAGACAACTTGAAAATCATCATGCATCTCCCAGTGCATGAAGAGTAAGAAACCTCTGCATTTGTGGCAGTGGCTCAGCATGAAGGAGAACGTGAAGGGAGATGTTTTGCAGCCAAGAACTCTGCAATTCTTGTGAGTCTCCCTATAGTATTCCTAGAGTGAAATGCTCAGTCTTTCCTTTTCCGCCAGAAATTAACATCTTTTTTAGGCCTAACAGCCATTTTCCCCCTTAAGAGCATTTTTTAGTTGGGTGCCATTTTTAAAAAGGGAGCAACCTTCTACTTAGTGTGGTTTTGCATTTTGCAGGTAGCTCACACGTGGTGCTGAAGCTCTCCGTAACAAAGCTACCTCTCTCAGTCTTGCAGTTTCACGTGGGGCTCCTCGGGAACAGACAGCAGGTGGACAAAAGGTCCACCACTGGCACTCACTGCCTGGCTTTGGGAAACTCACTCTGTCTCTGTGTTGCACCTCGACTGTGCCATCTCCACTTGGCTGCAGTGGAACCAAATTGCATAGTTTGATAAAGCTCCTTGATGTGTTTGGGCTGAAGAAGTCAGAAAAGAGTCAGCTACATTTCTATATTGAAGATGATTTTTTATTGCAAATGTACATATTACACTACCAATAATGAACAGAAATTTAAAAAGCTATTGTTTCCTAGAATTTAATGATTACAAAACTTCACAAAATTTGTTACAACCAAAAAACCCACCTTCAAGAGTATATAAATAGAATTTTGAGCATAAATAACAGTAACAAAATAAACAGAGGTATGTATTTAATAAATTAATTATAAATATTGCATTGGCAATGAAGTGCTAGGTCAGAAGAACACCAGTGTTTCCAGTAGAGCTTTTTGTATAGAAATCTCTATTATGAGTGAGCCTTTGGAAATGAGTGGAATCTCTGAACCCTGACATGTGTCTTCTTTTGGTTTCTCTATGGTTATTCCTTTGTTAAATTGTCACAAGGGGAGAACAGAACTGAAGACATCAGATATATGCTTTCTGGCCATGAGATTCACACGATCCCTTTCTGCAAGAAGCACAGCATGGCCATCTCAGTTCTGCAGTGTTTAAGTCACTAAATTGTATCTCCACAGTTTCAACTGATGCAGAATCAAGCCTGGATGGACTTAAAAGAATTGCTGATGCTTACAGGCGAATCACAGAAATGTTCTTTGCAACTGATGTGACCTACACATCATCCATTTTCAGACTTTCTCTCTATTTGCTAACATACATGAGTATACACAGCAGAACCTATATCTGGATACTAATTTGAAATGCTCATTCCTACCAGATGAACACAAATACTAGTTCTGTATACACTCATACCCATGTGCTGAATTTCCATTAATGTTAAAAGACAAGTCTTTATGCTGGATGATGCAGATCCCCCAGTGAACATAAATTAACCTATAAAATACACCAAAAATCCAGTTTTTCAAGGTATCCTTTAGCAATAGGGGAAGGAAGAAATGTTTTCCTTTCTTCCCTTCTTTCCTAAGGGAAGAAAAAGCACAATATATAAGCAGAATTGTTTTTCAGTGGTATACTTTCAACAGAAAGCTTTCCCAGAAGGTTGTCAGCAGCTTTTCAAGAAACAGCACTAACTTTAGTTCACATAACCACACTTGCTCAGTCTTCCTTAACTGTGTTTTGTTCCAAATGTTTGTCTACAAGGCTGTGAACTTCCCTGTGAATGGCAAGATTTCCTGTATATATATATGAGCTGAAACAACAGGTGAACATATGTGGTAATGAATTTGATGTATGAAAACTATGTATTTTATCATCACCACAGTAATGGAGGAACTCTGATGAATTTGTTAAGCTGCTCTTATTTAATTTTTCTTTTCCAAGTATACTATGGAGAGGCAATTCTTTTGAACATGGCATCTGGGCACTCAGCTCTTATAGGTAAAACACATTGTACGGGAAAGGCTGTCTCCATACTGAGACATGAAAAAAAGGTTTGAGACATCACTACACAAGAAGCTAAAAACCTGCAACATTCTGTGGTATTTCTTTAAAACCGAGTGTGCAGTCAGAGTCATTTCTGAAAACTGGGGCTCTTCACTGGAGACAGTTTGGAAGTGATCCCAAAGGGATCCATGCTGTCCGTTTCGAGAGGCGACGAGTAGACCTCTGGCTCAAAAGCCTGGCTGTAATCACCGTATTCACCAAAGTCTGTCACCTCCACTGGCACAGTGTTGATCATAGGTAAGAAGTGAGACAGTGGGAGAAAATCTTTTCCTTTGAATTGTTGTCTTTGTTTGGCACTGCTCAAAGACACCGATATTCCGTATTTCTTTGATTTATACACGTTATAGCCATCTGGACGAATCTCCTCTTCAAAGGAACAGTCCTCAGTGGAATAACTGAGCTGAACAGCAAGGAGTAAAACCAGTTACAAACATGCCCGCCAGACTCACTGCATTCAGTTAAGATCAGTGAAGAAAAACGTATTTGCTTAGGTATGCATCTGTAAAAGTACATTTGTGACATACTGTAGAGACGTTCTGCTAGGATCTAGGATCATCATTCAGACCTTCCCACATGCACTGCATTTCATACAGTGCTGGTGTTATTTCAGGATCAGTCACTGCAGGTGATTGAACTCCTGGTCAGCAAAAGGCAATTGCTAATGATGTCTTTCGTGATAAGTGAATGCTCATCCCGGCTTAATATAGACTGTATTTGCTACTTTTCATTCTTTTCTCACATGCCATCAAGAATACGGAGTACAATTAAGTACATGTATCTGAATGTTGTTTAAAAGCTCTCATTAAACTAATCAGATAATCAAAAAAGGACATTTTTTTCCAAAATAAGTTATGTAGTATTTTTCCTTCCACACACAATATGTATCTCAGAAAGATACCAATCTGTGATGCACAATTATGGCTGAATTGTCAGCTGTCCTTATTGCTATGAGCAGTTAGCCTCCCTTTGGAGGATGATGAAATCAGCAAGCTTCTTGAGCAAGTGCACTCTACAAACCACATTGGTTGTTGACAGCACCCCTATGCCTCCACCAGATTGTTCCCTGCTCACTGTAGTGGGATTGTCTCTAGAGTAGTTTTTAATACATTTCAAATGCACTTTAAGTACTTCCAGATCATTTTTTTACATAGGAGAAATTTGCAGTACGTCAGTATATGAAGCAGTTAAAGATTTCTGCTAAACTACAGAAATTCTGAGGGCAGGCTATGCAGCACACTGCCTGTTCAAAATCAACCTTAGCCATCCCTGTGTCCCATGTTAAGAAGGGACACGTTACAGGAGGGCTGAATTTGGGCCCCAGACATTGCACCTGCCCTTTCCTTCTTCCACTGCTGATCTCTGGGCTATGGCACATGCTCTGCCTTGGCTGATAGCAGAGAGATGACAGTGGGTGTCAAGGATGATCTGGTTTCTTGCCCTCAGCCTCACACAGGCTCAGCCCATGTTTATTGGGCATCGTAGGAGTACAGATGGCATATGCCAAAAGCCATTTATTTCTTCCTTCCAAGTACACACCTAGAGAAGGGTAGCTACAGGAGAGGGGGCTGTGTCTCAAAAGAGAAGATTTCTCTCCATGTGTCAACTTCTACTCCCTTCACTTCTGTGAATACTGTTACCAGAGTTGACAAAACTATTTTCTGGAATCTGGCAAATAGAATTGGTCCATGACATAAAGGTGTAATGGCATGGCCACATGCCATTGTGTTTTCAGAAGAAAATCTAACAACCTGTGAAGAATACTATACACCAACAAACCCACTCAAAGGATACTCATTAGCTTACAGAGTTATGTTATAAGAAAGCTGCTTTAAAATGCCTTGACTACAGCAGCTCCAATAGGAGCAGGATCTGGACTTGTTTTGATTTCATTAATCATTTTGCTTTGGATATACATTAAAACTTTAAGCTAATAATTGACCCACCACACTGTTAGAGCCTATGCACGTTATCACTGCATCAATTGTCTGATTCTAGCCCAGAAAAGCAAAGAAATTGAGAAAGAAAGACTCAATCTTATGTTGTATGCTCAGTCAATAACCTCCCTACACCCATCTTAGTCTGTCTGAACATACCGGGAGTTTTGACAGTGGGCCAAGTCCTTGCCCTACTGCAATCAGCACAAAGTTTGCTGCAGCTATCAAAGCAGAATGGAGCCATGCCTTTACTACGGCACAATAAAAAGTCATCACCCCACGCAACCCAGGCTCCTGCAGAGTGCTTAGACAAAGCCTTGCTCTGAACCTTCAAAATTCTGGAGCTGGCAGCTTATCTCTGGGTTTACAAAGCCAAGTTTACATCGCTGATAATGTTTACAGGATATGCTGACATTGCTGGGTGAAAAGCGCAAGCCAGCGGCGCGGTGCCAGTTGGTCACTGAGCTCCACAGCCGGCTACAGGTGTGCTGATTCTCAGGTTGGAGTGGGACAGCAGGGCTCAGCCATCCTGAAGCCCTTTCTGTTTGGTACTACCTAAGAGATGGCACCCCTGTGTCTCTGGGGCTTGTTTGAGTGGCACATCTCCTTTCCAAAGGAAGCGATTCTTATTTCACTTTATTTTTTTCCCTAGATTATCTGAGCTGAACAGCGAGAAATTATTCAGCTTCAAAGCCCTAACTTCATCGGTTTCTGGGGCAGCCACCAAACAAGAAGACTTTCTAAACAAACTCACTGCTGGACGACACTGCATTTTCCACATGAAATAGGCACTGTGCATTCGGGACGATGTCCCTTTGCTGCTGTCCGCTGACGATCCCCGCTGCCTCCCGGGCAGTGGCAATGCCAAGAACCACCGACCCACAGCAAAAAGGAGGGGACACCCCAAAGCCCCGTTAACTCGCCGCGGCGCCAACAAAAACTCCCAACCCCCCACCCCCCTCTGCCATTCTCGACCGGGGGCTCACCTGCCCGTGTAGCCGCCCCGCCTCGTCCATGCAGAGGTAGCGGGAGCTCCTCACGCCCTTGATGGCCACGGTGCGCACCGCCACGGCGCGGATCTCCAACAGACCTGCGGGGAGAGGGAACGTGCCGTCAGCTCCGCGCCGCCGCCCGCCCGCCCGTCCCGTCCGTTTCCTCAGATCCCGGCACTCACTCTGCGGGCTCTGGCTACCGACAGCGTCCACCCGGCCGTCGCCACCGATGCGCAAGAAGCAGCTGAAGAGCCCGTGTTTGCTGGCGGTGTAGAGGTGCCGCAGCCGGATGGGTTCCCCCCAGCCGTAGTTGACGTGCGGGCCCGCGTCGGGCAGCGGCAGGGACCTGGCGGCGGCGGCGGCGGCGGCGATCCCCAGTAGCGCCAGGGCAGCGCCGGGGGCGGCGGGGCGCGGCCCCATCCGCGGCGGCTTCGGACTCAGACTCGGGCTCGGGCTCGGGTCGGGCGGCGGCGTTGCCGCGGGCGGTGCGGGGCGGTGCGGTACGGGGTTGGGCGCTCTGTGCGACCGGCGGTGTCGCGGAAGGGATGTAGCACGGGCCAAGCCGGCCCCCCGGCTTTTTATAGGCCTCCGTTATCAGCCCGATCGATTCGGCCGCATCCAGCTCCAATATAGAGCCCGTTTCATAGCGGGAATTGGTCGGGTCGGTCACTCCCCCCGAAAATATTGATCAGATGACATCATGTCGCAGGGGACATCCTGGAGTAGTCGCTCCCTCCCCACCGCATCTCCGAGCTTTCCCCTCGAGGCTCATCCGCGCCGGGCCCTCGCGAACCGAGCCGCATGAGACCGAACGGGACGTGACGGGATGGGTCGGGTACGGTCGGGTCCCACAGCCCCGATGCGAGCCCGAAGCACGGGAAATGAGACCAGAGGGTGCGTGACCCAAAAGGCACCAGCGGTCACGCAGAGGTGAGGGAGCAGCTCAGCCGCTCGGGGGACATCACTCCTCCCGTCCGGCGCTACCGCTTGTCCATCCTGTATTCCCATTTCAGAACTATGCTAGCGGAGATGCTAGTGTAACCCAGCCGGATAAAAGGGTCGTATGCAGCGCAGGGCTCCGCCACGCTTCAGCTCGGCGGCTCCGAGGCTCCGCGGCCGCCATCCGGCTCTCTTCCGGCCGGCGCCGCGCCGCCGCGACGTGAGCACGGGGTGAGAGCGGCCACTGCCCGGCACCGGAGCGACGGCTCGGCCCGGCACGTGCTGGCTCGGCAGATCTTGACAGGTCCCGGCACGGCATGGCACGGCGCCTCGGGACGGACCGGCGCCGCTCCCGGGCTGTGTTGCCGCCCGGCCATCCCGAGCCGTGCCGCTAGATGGAGCCGGGTGCCTGGGTGCGGGCTGACCTCTCCGTCGGGGAGCTGCTACTCGGGTCTCTCCGGCCCATCTTCTTCCCACTCGCGCAGAGAAATCGGCAAAAAAAAGCGTGTATAGGAAAATCGGGCAGAGACCCGACATAGGCATCAAGTGGGTTTTTGTGCTGACGACTTTTACCATGCTGGGGTTCACCCAACGAATGTGTCAGGCAAAGGGAGAGCAGTGCACACCCGTGTTTGTCTTTTTCAGGGCACTTCAGGGGATTTCTGCTGATTTTCCTGTTTTCCATCCAAACTGAGCATTACAGGAATTTTCTCATGTCAAGAGAGAAAATAGGCACCAATGGGATTTCATAAATAAAAAGAACATTTTTCTTCCATAGGGAACACAAAGTATCAATTAATCAGAACATAGCTCCATACCCCTAGCAGAATTTCTGAAACAAGCAAAGAAAGAAACAAATCTTTCCAAATTTCATTGCCTCTTTACTTTTGTCTTTCTGTCTGTACATTTGCATCTCATGAGCACTTCTGCAAACATCTTTCCTTTCTGAGCAACCCAAGCTCGGTGAGGCCGAGCATATAGACAAGGCCATGTGAAAATACAGAGCTCTGTGGGATGATGGCCCACTCTTTTATGGATGCACTTCTATACACCCTAACCGTGTGCACCCTGTGGCACTGAGGTTTGTCACACTGATTAATCAGTGTCTAGATGATCATGGCCTTGCAACACCTGCTTCTGCAACAAGAGATTTGAGTCACCTCAAAGAAGCCCAGTTTTCTCACATGGCTGATGAGTCATTAATGAAAATGAGGGCCGCCTCACTTCCAGGTTCCTCCACCATCTAAGTTATGGATTGACTTGAGAAATTTTGTCCTTGCAAACATCTCACATGCTCACGATATCATAGCACCAGTAAATAATACAAAGGTGTCTAAGACCCTGTTTTTTCCCTCTGTGTAATTCTGTGCAGTTGCGACATGGCAGCTCCAAGGCAGCTCACTTCTTGCAGCCCTGGGCCCCACAGCAGTTGTGCATGTAACTCACCCCGGCTGCTGAGCATTCTTTGAGGCACTGAGCACCCAACACACACACAGTTTGGGCTGAGATGAATCCATGAGGTGCTTTGGTCCATTTTGTTGTGCATCTCACTGAACAGAAGCTATTTGATGAGTACCGATGCTGCTATACTATTAATGCTATATATTATAGCGTTAATTATATTTGCCATCATAATATACGGTGTTTTCTTCATCAAAAAGTCAACCACCTTTCAAGCAGAAAGAACTGATGCTTGCAACATATTTATTCATTTTGATGGTATCATTATTCCTTTGTGAGGATCAAAAATGGAGGCAGTAAAGGAGATGATTAAAATTTCATATCAGATCAAATGACAAGGAAATACTTAACTCATTTGTTTTTAGGAATTGCCTTTCTTGATATAACAGTCTTTCCGTCTAATCCATTTGTCCAAGTTCCTCTGCAATCTGACTGAGGTGAATGCCTCCATGTGCTTATCTGGGCTGGGTAGCACCAACCTATCTCCAAATAGCTGTTTGAGAGATACGGGTTAAATAATCTCTGGAAGTGCTTATTTCTTTATTGGCATTGGAAAAAAAACCCTCAGTGATTAGCCCAGATTTAGTATTTTATTTTTAGCTACAGCTAGTGAATCTCACTTTTCAATGTATACTGCTGTAATGTGACTTTCATATCAGTTCCCATACAAATCACGGAATGTTATCATTTATTGTCATCTTCTTACCAAAGTTCAGTAGAAAGACACATCTTTGCAAGTTGCTAAAGATGTATTTGCAGAGACATAACGTGACAAATCATACCATCACTTCCAGTGCTGGGGCTGCTCCCTGAGGCAGCAGCAATGGAACCTGGTGGTGTGGGACTTTTGCTTTTCTGGGGATAAGAAAAAATAAAGAAGGAAAGTCTTGTAGAATAAAAATACCTCCTGACTAAATATTACTCAACTGCAAAAGCATTTTCACCTGTTGTAATTAATCATTTATTTCCACTGCACTTTTCAATGGGCCTATGTAATTTCCGCAGAACAAAACCTTCAGCTTTTGTGATTCTAAAGCTGAACCAGATAAGGTTTGGAAGATCACGACTGCTGTGTTTTAAAAGTCAAACATCCAGCGATCCTGCAGCATGCCAGAAATATAAGAGTGTTTGTGCCTTAGTAGGCAGTAACATCATTGTGACCAAGTGAGATAAATTGAAGCAGGGCTGCTACATGATGGTCAGAAATAGGCCATGAAGCCACTCCTGAGATAACCACCCCACCTCACCACAACATCCATTGAAGCAGATGTAGAGAGTGCTCAGGTCTCCCCTGAGCCTTCTTCAGGCTGAACAATCCCAGCTCCCTCAGCTGCTCCCTTGTTCTCCGTACCCTTTAGTTTTATTGCCTTCTCTGGACATACTCCAGGATGTGTATGGATACGTCTTTGTAGAAGGGAAAACAGTACAGGAATTTTAAAGTGTCTTACTTCCTTTGAGGTATCTTTGGGGTCTCCATAGATTCAGGAGGAGACATCACATGAATGTGATTTGGTATTACTTCTCTGAAATCAGAAGTAGAAGAACTTCAGTGGCTGAGAGAACTCCAGAGAGAGATGGAGATTTCCAAGCTCATTCCTTTGCTTCTGAGCTCTGCTGCAACCCCTATATGCCACCCCACAGTGGCAGCAAGCAGACAGCCCTCACTTGCCTCAGTGCAGACAGCAGGCGTCATAGCCAGGCTATTCCCCCTGCCTCTGGTTGGGATCACAGGAGTGGACACAGTACACTGTACACAGTACACTGTGACGTGCAGGCTGTTCTATAAAGAGCCTTATAAGTGCAGCACAAGTTAAAAACCTGCCTAAGAAGGAGAGGTTACTCCACCACGTGTCAAGGGCCTCTCTGCTTCCCAGCTGTTTCTGCAACCCAAGAGGCAGAAAGATGACAGTATTTCCCCATGGACTGTGGATGAGAGCAGAATTAAGATTCCACAGCACCCACAGTGTACACCCACCGTCAGGATGCCTGTCAAGAGAGAGTTCTGCCCATACCACGGATGTAGCAGCCCCCAGTGCAGGATTCAAATGCATTGAATACTGACAGATTTTCAAATAATCATCTTCTGGAGGGTTCCTATTCTAAAACTGCTCTGCTGAAGTGCTCACTGCACAGGAGAGGTTCTTGCTATTGTCATCGGTAGGTACACATGCTGTTGCTGGTGCTTTCTAATGAACACAGATGGACAATTAATTTCAAATATCTCTAGCCATTCTGTCATCAAATGTTTTCTTAACTATTGCTATCAGTCAGTGCATTCTTGAGAGCAATACTTAGCTTGGAATTTATTTGAAGCTTCCATGACCAAATGATGTCTTCTGATTAAGTCTACTCTAAAGCTTATCGAAGTGCCATCAGCTTTAAATGGCCCAGAAGCATTTTTTCCTCACTGCAAGCAGTTTTTTCATACTTTGAATGTACTCGAGCCACCTATCTTTTCCATTCACTACAAAATCCTTTGGAATTTTGCAACTTATTAAAGCCTATTTGATTTTCTAGGTGTTCTACAGCACCTGATTTCCACTAAATCAATGAAAGTTGGAAAATTTGAGGTGCTTAAACATCTAATTTAATTGAAATATTTCAATACCCAGGGCAAATATAATCTAGCCTCTTCATGGAAGCTGAGATTCACTGCTGGAAGAATAGTAGGTGCTACAAAAAAATAAAAATAATAAAGGAAACAGATTTGCTTCCAAAGTGAAGTACAAGGATACAAAGTGCACATGGTCAGATCTATGGTCCTGCTCAAATACATGCTAAACCCCACAGAGCCAGAATTAATCAGGTGATCTTATTCAGTTCTATTCAATGCCATTTGCCATGAAATCAGTCCTAAAGAGCACAGTAGGAAACTGGAATGTGCAAGGGCTTCAGCAATGAACCCACTGTGGGCACAAGAATCAAATCTGACTGCGAAACAATTTTGGTGTGTTATACTGGGGATAAATTTGTCCCATGTAGGTGCAAATTCATTTCACAGGAGGTGAAAAATAATTGTC